AGCCTGGCTTGGCACAGAAGGGTGGCGGCTTTAAGGCCGTGGGGCTCGATTCAGATTAGAGTAGAGTTTACCGTAAGGCCCCAAAGTAGTTTTTTTGGGGGGTTCATAATGTTTTAATCTTATGAGATCATCCCAAAAAGGAACTACTATGGGGCCTCTGGGTAATTAGGGCTTAAGGTTTGCAGCAAGGTCTTGGGTAGAGTTTAGGCAGGTAGCGGGCTCATGAAGGATAACACATACTGTGCCCCTGGTGTGAACTGAACCGAACCCCGAACTACAAAGCCTGTACGTTGCCTACAACCCAAACCATAACCGCAATCTGGTTGGGATGCCAAACAAAGGGATCCCAACTTTATAGAACCATCCAGATAGGAGTTGAGCACCTACTGCCCTCGGAGGATCGTGTAATTTCGGGTTTGAGCCTAAAGTTTAGGGCTTTAGGGTTTGAGCGTTTGCAACAAATTAACCCGATTCTCGACCGCTGAAGGATTGCAGCCCAACGTCTGAGGCCCGATCAAGGACAACAACAAGAAGAAAAATCTGCAGCAAAGTCACGTTACGTTACTTTGATCCAGCGGAAGTTCAAGGGCACGCCATTTGCTAAACCCTAAGCCTCTAAACCCCTACACGGAAACCCTCAAAGCAAAAACTCAAGTTCCCTATAAGCTGCTACCTAGACCCTAACCCAAATCCCCATGTATGCTTGCGAGGCTGGAACTTACGGCCCTCATGTCACAACAGTGCTCTACACCTGTCCGGAGTTCACCATGCGAGCAGTTGTTCAGGGGTTCTTGTGCAAATTTCACAGAATATTTGTGACTCTCGTATTATGAAGGCCCCCAAAGTACTTGCAACTGCCGCGAGCGACGGGTCCTGCCCGCGTGAGTCGTGCAAAGCTTGGCTGGCTCGCGCAATGGCACTCCTGTCTGGGGTATCATAAGGGTTCTTTTATGGGCTGGACATAGGGCTGTACAAGGGCTCCAGGACCTAATCAGGTCCTACGTGACCCGCTAGATTGCAGCACCTGTGTTGGGTTGCCTTTCTTTCCGTTTCGGGTTTGGGTAGCACTAGGTCTAGGTAGCAATAGACCGAGTGCGCCTGTAGTGACTGACAGTCCAATGACCATCGTGCTCGCCGATAGTGTCAATCGTGTTTAAGCTCTTATCAAGATGATGACTCTGGCTATAAACTGGTGAATCTGTGTTTCTTTTGATGACTCTGTCTCGGACAGGGGCACTCCGAGTGCATGCCATGCACGACTAACTGTATGCTAAGCAGTTATCTGTGGTCTATGTTTTACGATTCAAATGCAAATGAATGCACAAAAACAGGGAAAGCGTGACAGATAGCACTGAGCAAGTTGGCAATTCCGGGCCTACTCCTGTCGCAACTGCAACGGCGACAGCGAGGAGCGCAGCGAGACCTTGTCGGCGACCCTAAACCCTAAACCGCCATCAGTTTCGAAGGACTGGAGACTGATGAAACGACTACTCCAGACAAACAAGAAGCCCCCAAGTCACCAGCATGAAGATACTACTGTTGATGATACAAACCCTGCATTACCGTAAGGACCCGAAACCATGGGAGTTGTGGTAAATTCCTTATTATGGGTCATGCAGGATGTATATCATCAACCGTAGGGGCTTCATAATTAACATAAGGCTCCTTTAAAGGGCTTGAAAGGGACCTACTACGATATAGAGGCATTATTAATTAGAATAGGGTCTTGGGGCTCATTATGCTATAACTATAATAAGGACGCCCCCCCCCCAAGAAACATTGGTAGTCATCAAGGCCTCTATAGTAGCCCATGTTAACCCGCCCCAGAAACTCCAACAGTCTGCACACTTCTGAACCGTAAGGGCCCAGCACTACCGTACAGTACAATCTGCCCCGGCTCTGATTACCCAGCTCTGAATACCTTCCCAGAAAATGACCAAAGGAGGAAAACCATGGAAAACCCCAAAGACCTAAACCGTGAACCAACATGCAAAACCAACTGACAGTCAACCCGAGGCCAAATCCAAAAGAAAGCTATGCCCGTTCAGTAAGCAGTATTGCAGCCAAAAGGTCTGAAAGGGCCTCCACTTGCAGATCCCCGGTTCACTGGCCATAGCATCCATTGGACGGCCCGAGCCCGAAGGAGTAAGTGATGCAGGGGCCTTCAAAATTAGATTAGGGTTTCGGGGCCCATTATACGGCGAAACTCAAAAATGTTCGAACCTGTTCGTGATGCGTGTGCTTGAATTTGCATCCTTATTGCGTGCATTCTGCACTCAACACGGACACAGTTCGTCTACCCCATAGACTGGGTTAGCCCAAAAGTTAACTATTAGTTAAAATTTTGGCTGGAGCCAAAATTTTAACTAAAAGGAACCCTACAGGAAGGACGCAGGGAGCAAAAAGGGAACACATAGATATCCAAAATCACAGTTTTGAGATGGCGCTGTGATTTTGGATATGCTCAACGTGCGATTTTGGATATCATATCCAAAATCACAGGATTTAGTTATCTCGTTTTGGCCCGGGCGAGGCCGAAGTTTCGACGAAACTTCGTCGAAGTTTCGGCCCCTCACTGGTCGAAGTTTGAAGGGTGCCAAGTCGAAGTTTGGTCGAAGTTTCGTCGAAACTTCGACCCCCACAAGTCGAAGTTTCGACACCCTACCGGTCGAAGTTTCGACACCCTACCGGTCGAAGTTTCGACACCCGAGGTCGAAGTTTGCAAGTTGTGATATTACGATTCACTGTAAGGGTTGCACTTTTAGTCGATTGGTGTCGAAGTTTCGGCTCGAAACTTCGACTTGGGGTGTCGAAGTTTCGACCCAAGGGGTGTCGAAATTTCGACTTGGGGGGTGTCGAAACTTCGACCTGGAGGGGTCGAAGTTTCGACCCCTGGGGGTCGAAGTTTCGACCCCTGCCGGGCTAAACCTAGCTCCAAAATCGCAGGAACTCGGGAAGTCAAGTTTTGGAGATAGATCCAAAATCACACGTTGAAAATCAAACTGTGATTTTGGATCTGGGATCCAAAATTTTGTGCTGTGATTTTGGAGAACTCGACCCTGTGATTTTGGATATCATATCCAAAATCACAGGATAAGACAAAGGTCGTTAATTCCTGTGATCTAGGATCTTCCCCGGTGTTCTGGCAAAGATAACTTTCGGGCTAACCCGGTCTATGGGGTATTCGTGCGCTCTTCCAGGTTGCACACAACAAGACAGTCTGGAGTGATGTCCGAGAACACGTTTCTTGCGGGTCTCGAATCCAAAAAGGGTGCGCGGACATTCATGAGTCCCTCCCTTTTGACAAAGGAGGGCTTAAGGGGGGACTTTAAAGGGGGGCTTTACAGGGACTTTACGGGGGTGGGCAAAGGGAGGCTTTGAACGGATCATTCAAAGGGGCTTTAAAGGGGGCTTAAAGGGGCTTCAATGATTCAACGGGAGCTTTGAAGGGAAGGCTTCAAGGGGCTTTGAAGGGAGCTTCAAAGGGGGGCTTTAAGGGGCTTTGAAGGGGGCTTCAAATTATGGCATAACTATAAAAAGCAGCCCTAGGAATACGTTTGGTAATCATTCCGGCCTCTGTAGGGATTGAACTCGGCTTTCGGGCACTAGGGCGTAGGTCTTCCTTGCCATGCAAAACAGACACCCCTAGGTGGCTCAGGGGAAACCTTGTCGTCCCGGATCACCTTGCAGGTTCCCGGATAGTTGTTACAAGGGTCACTCTACTCTACGGGTTCCTCTCCGGCTACCATAAGGGTTACTGTTGGGGCTGCTATGATAATGGCTGCAAGGCTTGCGATGAGGTCTACCGTGAGGCTTACTTTCTGTGGCTACAAGGAATAGGTATACACATAGACGGTTATTAGTTCCTTAGTTGTCGACGCCTGGGTCAGAATTCTTGAGCTATGGTTGCGTTGGTCATAAGCAGACGTGCTCAGTACGTGTATGATGTTGGCTTGGTCGCTTTGGTGAGGCAAGTGATGAGGCAAAGAAGGCTAAAGACATGTTAGTTAGAGTTTTTAGTGACCTGTTATTGGAATGTCAGCATAACCTATAGTCGTCGAGATTCTCCAGGCCCTCTAGCAAAACGTCGGCCCGTTCCCGTACATGCATTGGCTGGGTCCATATTATTTCGGTTCGCGACCGAGCTGGACAGCTGCAGTACTACAAGGTCGGCAAAACCAGCGCACACGTCTCACCTTGGAAGTCCGGCTCAGCAAGCACAAGACTGCTTTCTACCTACGGAAAGAAGAACCGACTCCGTGACTGCACACTGCAAGTTGAGTATGCTGTGATGGCACGGTTCTCTTACCAGGCATGGGCCTTGGAACAGTGTCTGCATGGACATTTCCACCGCTTCCACCCGCATGCTCTGGCTTCAGAGGGTGTTTGGCACGTGCGACGCCCGAATGGCGGCACTCCTTACTACCGCGAGGTCTACCAGCCGCATGCATACAATCGGCTCGTGGAGACCTAGACCACCTGACGCTAAGCATGACGGACCTGCAGCAGCTCCTCCGGGACACGTGGGCTTCCGCAGCGGTTGGCTCGCCAGCACCGTTTCCAAGAATGGGGACCCTTGTATAGTACCCTGAATAGTAGGATCCTCATTCTAAGGACCCTGAAAGAAGGTACCCCTAATTTTCGGACACTCCCAAATCCTAAGATCCCACCTCTAAGCCCCGAAAATTCTGGAAAGCCCAGGAGCCCCGAAGATTCTGGAAAGCCTCGGAGCCCCAAACTCATAAACCCGACATCCTAAACCAAGAAGCACAAGTCTCTCCACCCAGCCGATAAGGCATCAACGAATATTTATAAAGTCAAGCAAAATCCCTGAGGTTTAGCGTTTAGACTTGAACCCTACTTGTCGGGTATCATGCGGAACTGAAGGTTAACTTTTTTGGTTATATAGGGATTAAATAGGGACTATACTACCCCAAAAAAGGTTGAAGGTTCCCTACGCTACTACTAGGGAATTTCCGGCTGAACGTCGCGGGGTAGACCCTGGCAGTCTTCGGTGGCGCGGTGAGCCAGGAGATGTCCACAGCCTGGAAGCTTGCAACAATGCATCGAAGTCCTTACGGGATCTTTTCTAGCTGGTACACTGAAACAACAGCAGCAGCAGCAGCAAGAGGAGCATTGCAAGCACTCACCACAGTAGTGGCGTGCGGGAGAGGAGCAGCAACAGCAGAGTATACTCGTGACTAGTAACTGCGAGTAGTAACGGGCACAGTGGAAACTATGACATGGATCACAGAGAGGAAGCACCAAGTGATGTTGGTAGCCAAGGCTCCAACCTAGTGAACTCCAAAATGCGAAGACCAAGTCACAATAGCCAGTAGTCCACTGAAGCCCATTCCCAGGACCTTCGAAGCCTTTGGAAACCCAAGCCTCGTGCAAACATCCGATGGCCCTAAACCCAAACCCTCGACCCTTTCTCAAAACCCTAAACCTGAAATTCAAAACCCTAAATCCTAAACCCGAAGCCTAAGACCCTAAATCCCAAAGCCCTAAACCCCAACCGCAAACGGCTAAACAGCACTGCACCGTGCCTTTGCAGGCCTCGCAGGCCGGCTTGACCTGACTTTTACTTTCAGGAAGCACTCTAACTGAGCCGATGACTTCCCGAATTGGCACTCGGAAACTTGTGGGTTTAGGGCCTCGGGTTGAAGATGTGGAATCATGCAGGGTTATTAGGTAGTGTAGGGTTTGAGGTTTAGGGTTTAGGGTGTTGCAAGCCCAAAGAGGCTAAAGTTTACCTTCTCAGGTCTTTCGGGACTCTCCAATAATCTGCTAATAATCCAAATAGAAGAGGATTCTAGTGGCATATTATTCATACTAAACGTCTAGGTCACTCAGATACTAAGTGAAGGGACGGGTCGCCGGCACACCCGATTTCAAGGACAGGAAGCTTCCCAAGTATTCACAAGTTCAATACTTACTTGAACCCAGAGAGCCCAATACCCCTCTATTTGGCCTCAATCCGGCTTCCAACTTTATGCGGTTTACTGTATGGTACTTACCCCAAAACGGGTTCAAGGGCTACTACTCTTCTACTACTAGGAACACAGCCGGCTCAAAGCTTCCGGCTTACAGGGATTAAGCTATCGTGGCCATGCTAACATGCTCATGCATACCGATATCACTGATATCCAAACCAAAAAATAAAGCAGCAACAAGTTACATGAACGAGATCTGCACTTTTGGGAATTACTGCAACAGTGCCAGCCAGCTTACCATAGCTACGTTCTTTCTGGTTCTGCGCTACCAGAAAGCTCGATGCTCGGATCGACGTGGTTGAGGTACTAAACTCCAAGCGAAAACAACCACACCGTTGAGTTCCGCTCCAAAGCCTTCACTTCCAAACGCCCTAAACTCTACTCACAGTCCTAAACTCGAACCGTGAGCTCGGTGTCACCGCCCTATATGGCTAGGCCCCCAAGAGTAACCCAGGCATAAACAGGATACCCTTTTTGGTTTAAAGGGGCTTATAAGCGAACCTGAACCCTTAAAAAGGGAATAAGGGCCCACTCTGGGTCCTAGATGGGCTGCCATGACGCTGCAATACACCGGGTTTCTTGAACTCTGAAGTCCCTTTTGGGGGGAGCCGCTTCCGAGGAGGATGAGGCGTGGGCCGAATGTTTATATGGGGATTTCCGAAAATTACGGGTACCTTATCTTGGGGTCCTCGAAATAAGGATCCTACTAGTTGGGGTGCTTTTTTTAGGGACCCCTATTTTCGGAAACTCCCATATTGACCTCAAGTACGGGTTCTTCCCTTTCCTTGAACTCACAACATGGTGTTATCAGAACAACAAAGCCCACCTGAAAGCTGGCGCACAACATCTCCCGATGGATCCTGAGCCTCCAAAACCCCTTAATTAAGGAATATACCTTGAATCATATTAGGGATCCTATTGTAATTTAAAGTATATTCCTTAATTAAGGAATATACCTTAAATCATATTAGGGATCCTATTGTAATTTAAGGTATATTCCTTAAAAAAGGAATATACCTTAAATCATATTAGGGATCCTATTGTAATTTAAGGTATATTCCTTAATTAAGGAATATACCTTAAATCATATTAGGGATCCTATTGTAATTTAAGGTATATTCCTTAATTAGGGAATATACCTTAAATCATATTAGGGATCCTATTGAAATTTAAGGTATATTCCTTAATTAGGGAATATACCTTAAATCATATTAGGGATCCTATTATACTTTAAGGTATGTTCCTTCATTAAGGGGTTTTGGAGTCTCTGGGGATCCGAGTCCCGGGCGTCCCCTCAGGAGGTAGCGCCCAACTCAAGTCTGCCTCCACCATGCCGTGTCAGATATTTCCCGGCTTACAGGGAACTCCAGAAAGTTGGAATATGGTTTCATGGTAGGATACCCTATAATTTACCATAGAAGGGTTAGGATAATCATATTCCAACTTTCTGGCTTTTACCTTACGATCTGGGCGGTTGTCAAAATTATGGTCCCTGTTTGGGGTCCTTAATATAAATACGGCACCTAATATTTAGGGTGGCCGAAAAAGGGACCCGAATATTGTCAACCACCCCAAAAAATGCTTGGATGTAACCCTGAGACTAAGAAGCCTCTTCAAAAACACCCTGGGCATGGGGCACACTACTTCAGGGTCTGTCGGACTGAAGATCACGCCACATGAAAGACCCGAACCCTTCCCTTAGACTCCATGTGCCCATATAGTAGGTACTTAGGCCTTACAGGGGTCCCTATATAGGTACTTTAAGGCCTGAGTACGTACCATGTGGGTGCATGGAGCCTTTGGGCTTGGGGTAAAAGCTTATGGAGCTCCGGCTCCCGATGACTACGCACCCCTCCCCATGTAAGGACATAAACACAGGATCCTAACTCCCTGGTCTCTGAAAGTAGAGCTACGTAGGAACTCTAGCTAATTAAGATCATGTTCCGCCCCCGACAACTTCTGAATAGTTGTACAATGCTCGGACAGAAAACAATACGCTGAAACAGTGCCAGGCCGATGCCGAAACCCTGCACCCGAAACCCCAAGAACCTTGCGCAACACCACGCCCCAAAGCTCCCCAAAGCTCAGGCCGAAAGGCTCCATGTACCTTTGTAGTAGATACTTAAGCCTTAAAGGGGTCCCTAGGGAGGTACTCTAAGGCCTAAGTATATACTATATGGGTATACATGGAGCCTTAGGGAGGGATCCGTCCGCATGTTTCCAACGGCAGGATCGAAGCGATGGCCTTCATAGCTGCAAACCAGCTTGTCAAGCAAAGAAGGCTGGCCAAAGATTCCAGTACTTCACAGCTTAAGGTACTTTGGGTTTAGGGTTCGCTTGGGGCCGACATTCCTCGCTACATGATTGCCTCGAGTTATGGAGCAAGCTGCTTGGGTTACTTGGGAGGATGTTTGCTGTCTAGCAGAACCATGTACTTTAGGGGCCTACATGATGAGAATAGGGGTTTTGTGGCCCAGTATACTAGAATCATAATCAGGAACCCCACACAATAGCATGGCTAATTACCGGAGACACATTCATTGCTGGGACAGGACCTCCCTTTAACCCTAACTTTAAACCTCAACCCCTAATCAGTATCTAAAGTTTGAACCCTAAACCCCAAACCTTAAACCCCACCTTAACCGCAAATTACCTACCGTTTTAAAAACTTATATATGGAAATCATTCAGGCGAACCTTAAACAGGAAGGCTTTATAATGTCCACGTAGACCCTGACACAAGTGCCCTTCCTTGTTGGAATCCCTGGCCTAGCTGTCACAGGGACAGCCTCGAGGAGGTGCAACGATTCGTGATGAGCTGCTACCACAGCGCCAAATCCGAGGTGCGGTAGCGTTGGGGTTTCGGATTTAAGTTTGAAGCCTTGAGGGCCGCAAGAGAGATCCAGGCAGCTTAAGGCCGTGATGCTGTAACGACATCAGTCGGTTTAGGGGTTTAGGGGTTAGGGGTTGGGGAAGCAATACCGTAGACAGATGCTGGAGACTTTTTGCAGGCTGGAATGCTATATCGCTTGGTGAGTTCTCGCGACAGCATTGCGGCTAGCAGCAGAATCAGGAGTGATAACAGCAACTAATTTTAGAGCCAGGGTACACATCTACTAGCAGTAGATGACAGCCTCTTCAGAGTATTCACCATCACACCACTCGTCGTCGTCGTCGTCGTCGTAGCAGTAGCTGTAGCAGCCGCAGCAGCAACCGAGGCAACTACGGTGTGCATAACAGGACAGCCGGTGACACGCAAACCTCCGTCGAATCTTCCCCTGCATCGTAGAGCACGGATTGACAGTGACCAAGATCCAACGAAGCCGCACTCAGACTCGGGGGGGCTGAAGAAAGAGCACTAGCGGCATGATTTCAATTTCAAAACTTGCCAGTGCGACAATCGCACAAAACAAACAATCGGACAGTACAAACGATGGGGCTTCCGAGGTTCATCTGTGTTCATCTCATACGGATCTCTCGGGGCTCGCTGCGAAACAAGCCGCCGAAATCATTCGGAGAGTGTGGGAGTCCGATGTTGGCTTCGGGTTTACACTTTCAGAAGCACCTCTGTCGACACTGGCAATGGGCGCATCAATGCCACCCCGGTGGGTGGTCTGTTCTAAGCTAGGACCCCTTCAGGGGTCCTCAATGCGGAAAACTTTGTTGCCAATGGGTGCCTCGCCACGTCATAAACAAAGACGCATACAAATATAAGTATATACACATGCAAAAACATATATCTACATGTATGTATGTGTGTACAGCATATATATATATATATATATATATACATACATATATATATACATATCATACACACATACACACACATATGTACACGTGCACATATATATACAAACATGTGTGTACATATGTGTGCATGTATACAGGTGTTCGTGTACACATGTATGTGTCTAAACATGTAAGTATGTAAGCAAGTATGTAAGCAAGTACGTAAGCATGCATGCATACAGGTACGTATAGTGGCACACTTACTGGAGTTACATGTATACGTATGCATATGTGTGTACACATATGCGCACGTGTGAGGTTTTGACGAAACATTATGTATGTGTGTATGTATGTGTGTATGTATGTATGTGTATGTATGTATGGGTGTATGTATGTGTCCTCAGAGCGATTTCTAGCCACTGGACACTTCAACTGTGGAGCCGTCAGTCGGAAGAAGGGTCGGAGTCTGACTGGCCTGAGAGTCCAAAAATCAGGTTCGGATGCCCGGGGTGTCATGGCCTCTAGGGGAGGGTTGTTTTTTTTTGAGGAACCTTTACCTCCTTGCTGCAGTCGGAATACCTAGTAGGTAGAGCCAGGATGAGGACTAGGGGAGGGTTGAGGGTTTAGGGTGTAGGGTACAAGGCCTATCTTTTTGGGGCGCTTGGGCCTTCCCAGTGCGCAGGGAGTTCTACAGCTATAGTAGGGCCCCAAAAAAGCACATAAGCAAACGCTAGGATAGGGATATCCTATATAAACCCCCCTTGCAATCAAGCTCAATACGGTAGGGATATCCCATTTTCTGCCTATGCTTATGCTCTCTTGGGGTCCCTAATATAGGAGTCTCGGGTATACCTGGAACCCCAGTAGTATGCATAATGATAGCCCCTTGTAGATTTCGGACATTGTTTTTCCTAGGGCCTATCTTTCGGGGGCTCTTGGGTCTTCCTAGTGCGCAAGGTAGACTTCCAAGCACCAATGATGACCATACTGCGCACGCAGTTCAAGACTTTCGTGCTAAGCAGCGCTATTCGATGTCAGCATCATCGTCAGTGATTGTCGTCACAAGCATACACTATACAGATCTATGCTGTTGATTGGCAGTACTTTCTTTCGTTTTATGAGATGCATGTTGCCCTTGCTGCTCAGTACGAGCACTCCAGGCAAACGAGAAAGGCTATGAATAGTAATGGTCATCCTCAGCAACACCACTCCGAAACTTTGGCACCATGCGCTGTCATTAGACAGTGCTGCCAGCTACGATGATGTTGATGATGATGCTGATGATGATGATGATGATGATGATCACGATGGTGATGCTAACAATGACCACGAACTGCTGTCACAAGTGCTTTGCTTCCCGCACAGTTTGACCATCTGTACATGCTGTTTTCATAGGAATGACGGTGATGTCCACCACTACGACTACCACTACCACCACCAACACCGCTAGCACAAGCACTAGCACTAGCGCTGGCGCTGCATCAGCACTAGCACTCCACTACCACCACTACTACTACTACTACTACTACTACTACTACTACTACTACTACTACTACTACTACTACTACCACTACTGCTACTGATCATGATAGCGACTACCACTCGCTGTGCCATCGCCCCCGTCGGCTCTGCGGCCGGGAGGCTGATCTCGAGGTCGCTCTGGTCGCTGCCGTACTGCGTCTCAGGAACCTTCCATCAGCCCAGCTCTGAGCCCTTAAAAGGAGCCCTTAAAGGAGGACCCTATTCTAGGACCCTAAGCCCTTAAAGGAGCCCTTAAAGGGGACCCTAGTCTTGAACCCCTAGAGTATCACCCCTTCAAGGAGCCCTTGAAAAGAGGGGTGCCGGGTTTCGGTTTCGGGATCCGGGCCGCTGTTCCGGGTGTGCATGCCCAGCTCTGACCCTTAAAGAAACCCTTCAAGGAGCCCTTAAAGGAGCCTTTGAAGGGGAGTCCGGGTTTCGGTTCCGGGTTTTTCGGGTTCCGGTTCCGGGCAACGGTTCCGAGTGTTCCGGATTCCGGATGTTCCGGATCCCCGCGTGACCAGGGACGGGAATGACGATGTTGTGCTCAAAGGAACCCAGAGACTCCAATATCCCTTAATTAAGGAATATACCTTAAATTATAGTAGGATCCATAATATGATTTAAGGAATATTCCCTAATTAAGGGGTATTGGAGTCTCTGGGAACCCTTAGCGAAGCCTTACAGGAACACCTTGCGAAGCCCATAAAGGAACACTTAACGAAGCCTTAGAGGAACCCGTAACGAAGCCTTTCAACGAACCCTTAAAAGAGCAGTTTTTTGGTTTTGGGTTATTTACTACCTTACGGATCACTGTGACTGCTTCAGGGTGTAGGGATTTAGGGCTTAGGGACGTTAGGGCTCACGGGTGTTCAGGGTTTTGGGGAGGCTGCTAGCATCCGAAATTATGCGCACTGCGAGGACTTGGAGGGGACACATACTTGGGCCATAACTGGGCTATTTGGAATCCACCCCACTCTTCTTTGTGCTGCTCTGGGATTTGTTTCTTGTTTTCTTTTAGCCTCGTACATCGAGCTCAGGGGTAGAACTGTGGATTAAGGGTTGGGTCATAGGGTTTAGGGGTTAGAGGTTTAGGAAAATCCCATAAAACCATTTTAGGCACCCTTGCAGCGCTGTAACCCTTTCTGTATCCCTTGAAGGAACCCACATGGAAGCCACCCTATAGAAGCGATCTTGACACCCTGATCTCTGCCTCACTGACTGCGGACAGCTCCTCCCCAGACGTCTCCGGCCTGTGAACAGAAGGGTCGAGGGTTAAAAGTCTCAGGCTTTCGGGTGTATATAATATTACTGAGTAAGAATTAGAACAGGGTGTGGTGGTATTTTCTTTTTCTTTCATGAGGTCCAGAGTTCTATTCGAACGCACCTAAAGCAAATGTGGGGGTATACTATACTATAATCGTAATAAGGAGCCCCCCCACAATAGTCACTAGTATAGGTAATTATTGAGGCCTCTATATTGAGGTTTAGAAGGGCCTATAGGGTTTGAGGCTTCGATTCAAGGCTCAGGGAGTGGTTTTGAGCCACATTTTTGGTACTGCAAAGCACCGTAACCTACTTGTCCGGTATCATGGGGAACTAAAGGTTAACCTTTTTGGTTATGTAGGGATCATATAGGGACTATAGTACCCAAAAAAGGTTAAAGGTTCCCTACGCTACTACTAGGGGAATCGGGTTAAGAGTTTAGGGGATATGGATCCGAAAAATGCCAGAGCCTAAGAAGTGCACTCTGATCTCAAGACCCAAAACCTGGCTCGCCAGAGCCTCAGAAACACACTCAAAGTCCCCAAACCAAACCCTAAACCCTAAACCCTAAAATCTCCAGAAGCCAAGAAATACGCTCAAGACCGTAAGCCTTCGGACTTAGTTCTACAAAACCCCGGCGCCCAGAAGCCTAAAGTCCAAAGTTCAAGCCTTAAGCTCTGAGCCCGAGAGCCGGAGACCCTAGCCCAAACCCAGAGCCCCGAATTAGGGAATGGTTCCTTAAAGGGATCTATACTCCTTCCTTAAAGGGATCTATAGGGGTTCCTTCTACTGGGATCTATAGGGATAGACTTACGTTTGGTTAGTAGGCCTTAGGGAATGGAAGAATGGTAGTAATAGTAGCTAGAATTGTACCCCATTCCTCCATTCCCCACTAACCAAAGGTAAGTAAACCCCAAGAAGCCCCCGATGATGTAACAGAGCCGGTGGTTCAGGGTCAGAGCCATTGCAGCACCCATCATCGCCACAACCTGCGGAAGTCCAAACACGTGACACTTTTTCGGGTATAGGGCCTGAGTAATGAGAATAAACTTTTGGAGATTTTATGCTAAATTTGATAAGGAACCACCAAAGAGTATTACTAATTCTTCGGCCCCTTATTAGGGGTTAAGAGCCTTTGGGATTTCGGGATCAGGCCATGGGTTTCAGGGTACTTACGGATGGTGCTTCGAAAGGTCTGTGGCGTTGTTTTCGGAATCCTTTTGGGGCTTAGGCGGCTGGGGGAATCATGGGCCGCTCTAAATAGGATCACAAGTACTGAACTGTGGCTATGAGTAGCTAGAACTATAGTCGCTACCTACTTATAACCCATCAATTCCCTCATCGTCTCGTACGTACTCCTCGGGGTCCAGGGAGGGTCTACCTACTGGTGGCAAGGACAACAACCCCCAAATCCTAAACGGTGAGAGTAGCTTCGAAGGGGCGTTCCTTGGCTTTTTCTTGTGTGGAGGGTCTGTCTCGGGGTGCCCCACAACTCGCAGGTGAGGCTGCAAAACTGCGAGCCCCCGGCAGCCATGATCGTCGCACTCTGCCACTGAGTGAAGAGGTCGCCTGGTGCTGGTAGGGATTGGCGACTCCTAGCTAATCATGAAGCCAAAGGAGAACTCAAACACCGTAAATCGCAGTGCGGAGCAGCAAATTAGGACACTACGACCTTGCTGCTGGTGCAAGCCGAGCATCCAGACAACAGCCGGAACCCTGCCACTACGGATCCACCCAACCCAGAAGCTTTCTACCGTTGTGATACCCTACAGTAGAAGCCCAAACCGATATGGCAGTGGTTTACTGTTCCTTAAACCTAAGTAAACCCTATCGCACCCATAACCCAGTAACCTGCCACATTAGGCAATTGGGCTAACCCTCAACCCCAAACCCCAAGCCCTAAAATTCAAGCCCTAAACCCTAAACTTCGAGGCAGCCTTAGTCCCAAAGGCCTTTAAACCTGGGCCGCTTAGCGCCCACCCTCGCAACGTCATGGCCATTCTTAATAGGCTTATTGGAGAATCTTATTCATGCCCTTTTCGAAGTGGGTAGTGCTTACGGGTTGTAGAAAGGAGTTGGCGGCCTGGGAGTGGGGAGTGAAATCAGGTACGTGCCCTAAGCCCCAAACACCCCTCAGTGCTGCCAGACGGCTGATGGCAAAGGGGGCCAGGAAAGCGCCAATCTTCGATGACAAGTTCATGAGAGAGTGCGCCTCCGACAGCGGCTGGAGCTTGTGATGAGTAGGTCCTCCAGCTTATGGAAACTAGGGATCCTATGTAACCATCGCTAAGGGTCCATGTGCCCAAACAGTATATACCTTGGCCCACAATATCCAAATAGGGAGTACTTTAAGGCCAAGGTATATACTATATGAGTACATGGACCCGTATACCCTAAACCCTGTAGAACCGTTATGGAATCCTCTAAAGGACCCTTAACGGAACCTTATACCATATGAGCACATGGACCCTTAGGGCTATGTAACCCATGGTATCCAGTTTAAACCGGCCCTCAGATCACAACCCTCACTCACAGGATGAACCGCGAGCACTAAGGTGATTTGCAGTAACAGAGTAGAGTGGCTCAGGTGAGCCGGCTGTCGCGAACTCCAGCATCCGATCAGCAACCAACATGACAGTCAAGTACTACTACCCGAAGAACACGTAGATATATGTAGCTTCGGGACCTGCAGACCCTGGAAGGGATATCTTCGCTGCTTTTCCAGGATCTGCTGCGTCATTAACTAGAAGGCTAAGTTTAAAGTTGGGTTGTCAGCAAAAGGAATGCTAAGAGTTGACGCCCTGCACTCAACCTTTCTCGCAGAAAAGCAAGCCGTGACAACCGCATACCGTAGCCCGCAAAAGAAAATCATGTAACGCACAAATAGACCCACCTTTCAACTGTTGAATTTAAACATCAGCATCAACTGCGAAACCCTGTCACACCCTAAACAACCTTATACAAAAGTAATTGAAAACCCTAAGCCGCAGGCCCTAGGCCCCTAAGCCCGCCTCTCCGCGAACAGCCGTCGGGAAGAGCTCTGGGCACTGTACCTTAAGTTTGGGGTTCCGGGTGTTAGTTGATTTTAGGGCTAACGGTTTACGGATGAGGGGGTTCCTTAACCGTAGATTTGTGCAGAGTTTGTGCTTCCCTAAACCCTGATCCAAAGATCCCTCGATTAGTGCTCCATGGGCCTACTTGAGCTCTGGGCTGCAGAAACCTTCGTTTTTTGCTGTATTAGGGTTTAGGGTGTGTGCTTGAGTGGGCTTCCTTTCAGGGTTCCGTTGAGTTCTCAGATAGGCCGTAGAACTAGGCCTAAACCGAAAATATAAACTCCTAAAGCCGGACAGCTGAACACCACAACTTGCATAGCAAATGGCCCAATACATAAACAAACGAGAACACGGCGACACAAACAAAACAGCAACCATCAGCACAGTCATCAACAACTCGAAGCCAACCCAAAAAGACAACCGAACAAACAAACAACAAAACCCTAAACCCTAGACTGGCCCTGAACCCTATTTTAAAACCCTAATCCCAATGCCCTAAACCCGAAACTCGAAACCCTAATCCCAAAGCCCCAAACTGCTGAGATTCTTAACCCTAGAACCCTAAAGCCCTAATTCCAATGCCCGAAACCCTACACTTCTTAGCACAAAACCCTACAACCCCAAACCCTAATCCTGTAATTAATGATAAGCCCTGAATAACCCTAATCCCAATTAATGCCCGAAAGCCTCAAACCCTAAAGTTTAGGAACCCTAAATACTGTACTTCTAAAGCCCTAAAGACCCTAAAACCTAAGCTTCTTAAAAACCCTAAACCCTGAACCCTACCCCCTTCCCCCTACCCTCCTAAGGGTCCCTAGTGTTGATGATATAAATCCTGCATTACCTTAAGGACACTAAACTATGGGAACTATAGTATATTCCTTATTACGCTATGGGAACTATAGTATATTCCTTATTATGGGTCATGCAGGATTTATATCATCAACCGTATGACTAAACAAAGAGGGCCCGGCCCAGGTCGAGCTCGACGCGGCCATGGCCCCAAGGCGGCCGACGCTCGCGACGACGGTGAGGAACTGGAGGGTTTAGGAATTCGGGCATTTATAGGGCCCATAAAGTAGGGTTTAGTTTAGGGTTTAGGATTTAGGGGCGTTTATAGGGTTCAGGGTTTAGGAGTGTAGAGTGAGGAACTGGAGGGTTTAGGGGGTGATAGGGGCTACAATGGGCCTTTTGGGGTTTATAGAGTCCATTATGGAGGTGTAGTAGGGGCCTATGAGGGCTCAGGGCGTTTATAGGGTTTGAGAGTTTAGGGTTTAGGACCTTAGAGTGAGGAACTGGAGGGCTTAGGATTGATGGGGTTTATAGGGCTCATACGGGTCTGTAAGTAGAAGGGCTCACAGAGGTTTAGGATTGATAGGGTTTAGGGCCTGTAAGGTACGGTTTAGGAGTTTAGGGGTTTAGTTCTCGGGCTTCAGGAGTTTAGGGGTCTAGGGGTTTGTAGGGGCTATATGGGGTTTATACAGGGGTAATTGGGGGCTTATGAGGGTTTAGTGGTTGTTCATGTAGTAGGGTTATACTTGTTGGGTTGAGGCGTGTAGAGTTTCTGTTTAGAAGGGCGAGTTATGATTCATCGACATGTCTATGTTTCAAAACCACACATTATTGCAGTGGTGTTGGCCTCAGGGCAGTATCTTTGCTGCCGACGCGGTCTGAAAACTGATGCTGTCCCAAGGGCTGCAAACCTAAAGCTCTGCAAGCCAGCCATGGGTGCCCTCCCGAGACCACGATCGCCTGCAGGCCCAGCGATCGGAAACCGAGCAAGAAACTGCAAACACCGGTAATGGTGTAGAAGAGACCTGCGCAGCAGAGCTGTTTTGCAGAGGAACGGGTACCGGCGTTGTTTTCTGATGTTGTTATCGCCGGTCTACAGATCTACCTACCTATGCATAGAGACAGGACATCTGGTCGACTGCTGAGTCGCTCCAAAGGTATGCCCACAACATTGGACTTTGCAGCTCAACCTGAACTTGATTTAGCCATGAGCTCGCCGTCTCGATGCCACTAGACTCTGGGACTGTCCCCTAAGGCGCATCAAGACAGCCCAGCAACCCTGTGAAGCAGTATCTGTCTACGGAGCAGACGTGGGACCTGAAGAGTGGTCAACATGGGCATGGTGGCATAGTGTACCGTTGATGCCCACTACTGTTGATGATACAAATCCTGCATGACCCATAATGAGGAATATACCATAATTCCCATAGTTAGGGTCCTTAAGGTAATGCAGGATTTATATCATCAACAGTAGCAAGGAGCAATTCAAACCTAATCCTCAGCCTAGCCAATCCGCACGCCTTGGGTGAAGACGCGGCCGGGGTCATCAATCCTTCAGACATGGGAGTCAGAGGATGGTTTCGATATGAGGAACTATTTTTATCATTATCATTGTTGTTACTATTAGTATTAAAATTTGGGAAAGTATTCCCCATATTAGTACCACGGACCCTTTGGGCTTGTGGGACTGTAGCAGTTATGCGTTACAGGACTGCGAGATGTCCGGAGGCTCCAGTGCAGTTGCGTGAGAAACCGACGGAATGCCTCCGGCACAGTGGCTCAGCCCAATTATCAGCAAGTTCGCATTTCTTAAACCTGTTTAGGAAATACGAAGCTCGCAAACTTCGCCGGCAACAAAGTTTAGAACAAGGAGAATAACACGCATACAGGCAACCGGCAAGTGTCGAACATGCTGCTGTTCTGGCTCTGAACAGCAAGCTCCAAAACAGTACAAGCATCTGTGCAGCACACCCACTGTGCAATGCAGCCACACTCCACGTTCAACAAGTCGAACCTGCAAACCACTACTGAACCCCTAACTCCCAACCCCCTGTCGAAATGTCCCTTAGGCTGGAGCCCATGCAAAACCAAAGTGAGACTAGGTACGTGGACACAGTCAAGAGCCATATATACTGAAAACTAAAAAAACCACAAGTACCCATAGAGGAATCTTAAAGGCACATTGATCTTTAAGGTGAGAGTTTCAACGACTGTTGCTTAGTGCTGCCCTGAACACACACACACAGAGAAGGCTTAGCGTTTAGGGTTTTTGTGTTTAGGGTTTAGAGTCTTACGGTTTGGGTCTCACGATGTAGGGTCCTGGGGTTCCATGTTCCTGTCTCGGACTCAGGTTCTAAGGAACGGTTTCACCCCAAACCGTTAAACCCTGAAGCAACGTGTTCAGGGCTTGGGGCTTTCAGGTTGTAGCGTTTAGGAACAGATGAAGCAGCTAAAAGTCCTTAATTGCCAAAGTATCCCAAAGTGCTTCGTGCACACGCTGGCCTTCAACGTGCTTTCAACAAATCAGGCACGAACACATCTCGGGCAATCAGATTGACTATGATGCTTGCGTTTTGCGAGAGGGGATCTTGACAAGAAGTACCGCACTATTTGAGGTCTTACTCCAATGTCAATGGTGTGTTTGTTGCCTACACCACCGCCCGAAACCGTCAAAGCTAAGCCAAACCACCATAAACCCGGAACCAATTGAACCTCAAAAAGCAAGCCTGAGCGCCCAGCAACCAGATTCCCAGAAGCAAGCCAACTATCTCGGCGGAGGAGGAAATCAGCAAGTCCTGCCACTTGGCTGAGTCGCGAGCTTGAATCCGGGGTTCAGGTAGGAGGAATCAAGCGTCGACGGTTAGGGGATCAGGAGGATTCGGGGGTTCATGGTACGCATTTCTGTTTAGATGGTGTTTGTATATGTACATACATATATATATATATATATATGTTTATACACACATACGTATCTATATCTATAAATGCCTGTATACAGACATACCAGCATGTGTGCATGTGTCTGTTGGGAAGCGTGCACACCGTATGTACTTGTATATACATGTGTATGTATGTATGTATGTATGTATGTATGCATGTATGTATGTATGTATGTATTGACAAATGTGTACTTCCATATGTACATATACATATATACATATATACATATGTATACATATACACACATGTTTATGTTTGTGATTAATATATAGAGAGATAATGTAATATAATGCAATATAATATAACATGTTGTATACTATGAATATGTATGGCCTTCGGCTGCTAATGTCAGTGCACAAGCTGCCATCAAGACGAGAGCACTTTGAGACTTTTGGAGTAGCAACAAGACAGCACAGGATATAATCCTCAAACACCAGAAGTCCAAAAACGCCTGGCCTCCGAAGTCGGAAGACTCACATTTGAGTTTTCGAAGATAGGGGACCCTTATGTAGTCTCCTGAATAGTAAGACACTTATAGTAAGGACCCCAAAATAAGGTACCCCTAATTTTCGCAAACTCCCATAGTGTTAGGTTGCCGAGACAGCGGCTCCGTGGGCTTTTTATAACCGGCCCCCAAATCAGGATCCCGTAGGGTTTAGGGTTTAGGGTTACTCCATCCTCAATCCAAAGTCAGCCCGGAGGTCCCGATGACAATCCTCGTTGAGATACCAAGCAGAGTCCTACACTCAAACCCCTAAAACCGAAAGTGTTGGGATCCCCCCTCCAGCAGGTTCGAGGAAAAGGTAGGAGGGTTTGGGGCGCAGCTTTTGAGGGCGTTGCGCCGTAAGCTCGCGGCACAACCCGAAATCTTTGTCTCCCAGACTCCTAAACCGTAGACTCCCATCCCAAGTCTTTACAGGTGGCATCAGCCAGGACGCCTGGTTGTCGAAGTCCAGCTTACAGCTCCGAGCCACATCCCCGGACCTCATGTATCAATGGATGAGGTATTCCCATGCATAACCTGATGGTTCCTTCTAGTGAAGATCCTCCCCTGGATCAGGGTCCCACAGCAGGGGTTTCGACGGGTTTCAGGATTTGGGTTAGACGTTTTGGATTTGGGGGCTTGGGGGCTTGGGGGCTTGTGGTTCAGATCTCGGGTCGGGATTGGGCTGAAGGAGGTAGGCTTTTGCGAGATGTGTGTGTGCAAACGCCGTCGGGGAAAAACCATATAAGTGCTGACGGCATTCCAGCAACCATCATCTTCAAACGCCCGTGTAAATGCGTGGCAAGGTGACACAATCACAATCCACAAGTTGTCCATAAGGACTTGTGTAAGCGGGGAAAGGCTTCCACTGCTGTACAATCTTGCTTTTTCCTCCCGTCACGAATGTCACCAGTGTGCGATGCATAGCCCAATATTTATGATTTGGGGCAGTATCCCCCCATAACGGTACCTAGGACCCTTTGGGTAGCTCTAAACTCGGACCCCATGAAACTCCAAGCCGCCTGTGGAGGATCCTGCCACTGCAAATCGAAGTACTTAAAAAGTACATACTTGGCCTCGACGGGGCTGCTTTGGGCCCTTGTATAGTTACTACATAATTACTTGGGCCCTTGAGACTCGCTCTCTCTCTCTCTCTCTCTTTTGTTGTTTTGCTTCTTGCTTCTCTCTCTCTCTCTCTCTCCCTCTCTCTCCCTCTCTCTCCCTCTCCCTCCCTCTCTCTCCCTCTCTCTCCCTCTCCCTCCCTCTCTCTCCCTCCCTCTCCCTCTCTCTCTCTCCCTCTCTCTCTCTCCCTCTCTCTCTCCCTCCCGCGACCCGCTCTCGCTCTCTCTCTCCTCTCTCTCTCTATCATCTCTCTCTCTCTCTTCTCTCTCTCTCTCTCTCTCTCTCTCATATCCCTCTCTCTCTCTCTCCTCTCTCTCTCTCTCTCATCTCTCTCTCTCTCTCTCTTCTTCTCTCTCTCTCTCTCCTCTCTCCCTCTCTCTCTCTCTTCCTCTCTCTCTCTCTCTCTCTCTCTCTCTCTCTCTCTCTCTCTCTCTCTCTCTCTCTCTCTCTCTCTCTCTCTCTCTCTCTCTCTCTCTCTCTCTCTCTCTCTCTCTCTCTCTCTCTCTCTCTCTCTCTCTCTCTCGCTCTCTCTTATGCATGTGTGTGTATATACATAAAGATGTGTACACATGCATATACACACATGCATACATACATACATACATACATACATACAAACGTACGTACCTGCACACATACATGCATGCATACATACACACATGCATGCATACATACATATGCATGCCTGCATTCACACAGTCATATATCCAGACATCCACACTCATACATACATACATACATACATACATACATACATACATACGTACTTTGACCAAACCGTTATATCCAAGTGCAAATTCCTGGGTCCACGGCTCGACCCCTTTCTGGAAAATACGTGGCAGGAGCATGACAATACCTCTGCAGGGGCTTAATGCTTAATTGTTCGGGGTCGTGACTCTGAGGTTTTTGGAAAATACGGTTCTTCCTCGGGCATTGGCAAGGGATCTAATGATTCGTGGCGCAGCTGTTTAAACGGGTGTCCGAGCGGTTGCCTGCACAGCTTAGAACAGCCTACGGTGCGATGTTGTACCATGAGAGGTGCAACCCCAAAACCTGTCCGTTCTATTAACCGCTCAATTGGAAATGCCCAGCGAGTTTCTCACGGCAGCTATACGGGAGTTTCCGAAAATAGGGGCACCTTATATGGGGGTCCTTATAATAAGGATCCTACTATTTAAGGTACTATATTAGGGTCCCCTATTTTCGGAAACTCCCATACGGCTTTGGCGCTTCAGGGTTGTAGGGCTGAGGATGGTTTCGGGTTTCAGGGTGCCGCGGATCGAGATGAGCTTCCGATGAATCCTGCAACCGAAACCAGTAGCAGTGGGTCCAGAAATGATATAAGACATGTGATAAATACAGTTCAGTACAATGATATTATAATACAATACAGTGCAACATGGTACAATACACTGCAGCGGGGCTTGCGACTTGCTGACGAGTCCGAAGTACTACAAGCGACATTGCCAATTGCAGCAAATCCATCACAGACTCAATGATGAGGCAACCTCTGCAAATCCCAGAACCCAACATTCGGAAACAAAAACACCCAAAGCACCCTTAACTTCTGAACGGACAAAAGATGCCAAATGACCAAACACACCCCAAACCAGCAAGAGTCTGCGCACCGTAGTAGTTCACGCCAAAGGCAAACCTGCTTTTCTAATCTTCATGTTCTGGGGTAAGAGTCCTCGGCTTCGGGCGTACTTGGAGGTTCATGGGTAGTTATAAGTGGGGCTATAGGTAGGGCAACTATACTTATAACCCATATTAGGGAACTTATAACCCCACTTATAACTACCCATGAACCTTCAAGTAGAGTCCTAAAGTTCAAAGGTTGAAGGCTTTGGGTGTCCAAAGTCGACTCTGAGCTCAGAATTGAAGGCTTAGGAGTTCAGGTTGGGAGTCCAATGTTCAAGGTTTACGTTGATAATACAATAATTAGAATAGGGTCTTGGGGCCCGTTATACTATATTTATAATAAGGAGCCCCCACAATACTAGTAGTCATTATTTAGGCTCCTATATTAGAGTTCAAGGTTAAGGATTTCCGATTGCTCAGTCAAGGTTTGGGAATTCATGTCACAGGCTGTGCAGCTCTAGGTTTGGCGATTCAAGTTTCCAGCTCATCTTTGGGATTTGGTAAGCTACTATGCTACATACTTGAGGTGACCAGGTATAGTTTTAGAGGTGCCCCCAGTGTTGCAAAGTGGTCGAAGAGTTACTGTAACGTGTTTAGCCACGTCGGGTCTAAGTACGATTGACGATATAAATCCTGCCATTACCCATAATAAGGAATATACAATAAACTCCCATAGTTTAGGGTCCTTAAGGTAATGCAGGATTTATATCATCAACCGCATGCCTGCTTGGGCCTGAAGTTGAAAATTACATGTTCGGACTTACAGTAAGCCACATAAAGTTGGAAACATGATTAAGGCCAAAAAGTGCTGGGATTTCTTATACATTACTCTCAACCTATGGGGTTTCCAACTTTTGGGCTCTTACTGTAGTGTTTTTTGAGCTCTGTAGATTTAGGTTTACTGCCACTACTTATTCAGACCCGTGCATTGTAGCTTTGAGGCTACTAGGACACAGCAACCGGGTTTTGAGCAGGTACATACATGTGTACACTGTTCCTTGAAGCTTTTGCCGTGAAGCTGGAGGAGCATGAGGCGGGTTTCGGGGAATAGGGGACTAGAATAGCAGGATCCTTAGAGGAAGGCCTAAGGGCCTAAGATTGAGAATCCCCCCCCCCCTCCCGCGAACAAGATATGTTATATCCCCTCCCCGCCCCCTGGGATCCGCACCAAACCAGAGAGTGCGCGAAGGTCTTCCACCGCAGGGCACTGCGACGGAACAGGTCCAACACGCCTGGCATCTGCTCCGACCCGCTTATTGCGTTTTGGCTGAGGTCTCCTCAACTTGGGTCGATAACCCGAAAAGTTAATCCAAGATGCATCTGGACTCTGATGTATGTCTGTAAGGTATTCAAGCTAGGACCTAAAGACATCACCACCCCAAGCGACCATGCCTTACAGAACCCTGATGGTACTCCCTTCGAGAAACCCTCATAGTATGCCGGGAAGGAACCCGAAAGTTCGGAATGGATCTCAAAAGCACAAGACGGGACGTAAATACATCACCACCCAAGCGACCATGCCTCACAGAACCCTTATCGGAACGGATCTCAAAAGCACAAGACAGGACAGGGCCACTCACATTATCGGTGTGATGTGAAGATTTGATCAGCTGCTGGTGCCTGGCAGCGACTGATGGGGCTACCCTGAGGAGGAGTTAGGGTTTAGGGGTTTAGGGGTTTAGGGTTTAGGGGTTTAGGGGTTTAGGGGTTTTAGGGTTTAGGGTTTTAGGGTTTAGGGTTTAGGGGTTTAGGGTTTAGGGGTTCTAGAAGGGTCTGAGACTGCAATGCAAGGGCTACGCCGAGGCTTCTATCGGTAATGAAAGGCTGGACCTAAGAGAATAACCTAGGAATAGAAAGGGTGCCCAAGTTTTGGTTTAAAGGGATACAAGAGAACCTTAACCCTAACATGAGGAATAAGGGCCTACTCTGGGTCCTAGAAGGTGCTTGGCAGTCGTTGGGGTGCTTCCTCGGCGGCCTTCGGCATAGTGGGTTCAGGGCTTCTGGGGTGTTGGGTGCTGCGTGGGTTTAGAGTTTAGGACTGTTGATGTCCTTTTCAGCCTTTGCTGCACAAGATAGGTCCTGCAGCGTGAAAATGCGGTTTCATGTTCAGGGGATTGTATACTAACACCTCACTAATGTTACGGCAAATGGATACCTCTCTAAACTAGGGTCGTTTGGTAGATGCCGGAAACATCTGAACCCGATAAACCCGACACCCCGACTCTTCTCTACCCCTATAAACCCTAAACCCTAACTCTACTCTACTGCCGAAGCCCGAAATACCCTAAGGTCCAAAGCACTTGCCCCACCTCATCTCCACCCCGTTGCTCTTCGCCCAGGACTTGACTATCGCCAGGGCCTGGGACATTCTGGTCTCCAAGATCATCACGGAGGATGTGGGGGCTTCCATAGATGCTGCATGTCATTGCGGTGGGGTCGGCATCAAAAGAAGCCAGACACGAACTACACTTGAGGGGCCAGCGAGCCTAAAACGGCCTCTCGCCCTGAACTGCCTGGCAGCATGTCGGAGGATCCTTGTCCTATCTTCCCCAGAGCTGACACATGCTGTCGCTTTCCGTGCCACAACGCCGAATTCTGATGATACTTCATGATATCAGAATCCATAAGGAATAATCCCTAATTTCCAAAAGCTCTGCACAAAAGCCCTATAAGTCTCTAAGGCCACTGGTCACCCTCAGCCCTAAACCCCCTAAAACCCCTGGCCCTGAACCATAAATGCCGACAAACTGAACCCCCTAGTAAACCCCCCTACACTTTAAACCCCCCTAAACCCTAACCCCAAAACCTAAAACCCTCAACCCCCCAACCTTCCCTGTGGAGGCCTCTGTCTCGCGGTCCATGTCCACAAGCCACCGGGGGGACTCCGGGAGACTCATGTACCTTTCAGGGCTCCTTTTAAGGGTCCCCAAGGGTCCCCTTTAAAGGCTAATTGCTATAGGGTCCAAGAATAGGGTCCCCTTTCAAAGGGTAGTCTCGGGTTCTATATTGGGGTCCCTTCTAAGGGGTCCTCCAGGATCCCGCAAAGTTTCCTTGAAGGTTCCGTTTAAAGGAGCCTAAGCGATCCTTTAACATCATAAAGGTTCCGCTCAGGAATCATTTTAAATGTTCCCTATCCTAGAATGGTACTGTAAGGGTTTGGGATTCGGATTCGGGTTTAAAGTTCTTCTCGCAGCCCGGGGTGTAGATGCCCATGCACAAGCTGACAGAGCTCTCCATAAGAGTCTAACGTGTTGTGGTCTTGGGCTTGGCGCTTTATGGCTCACGCCTTTGAGGGCACACGATTGCTAGGGCTCCAGATCTGAACCAGGGGCTTGGGGTTCCAGGGGGTCTTGGGCTTGGTGACAAGCATTAAGGCTCCTAGGTGAGGTGTAGGGTGCGAGGTTTAGGGTCAGTGCAAAGCAGTGGCAGAATCTAAGTTCCCATTAACTAGAGTCGGAACTGCATAGTGTGGTGTTTGCAGGAATAAATATAGGCGGTGCCGTATACTCTAGTCGTTTACTACACGTCCCGGGCCCTTCAAGGAGATATCTTAGCCGATTCTGTTGGTTATGGGGAAAGTAGGACAAGCGAACGCTGCATCCCAAACCAGAGCCGGATGCCAAGACACGCTCATCGTGGAAATAAAGATTTGGGTTCTTAGTAGGGAATGGGGGAATGGATCCTATGATAGTCCCCTAAAAGTCCCTTATGGTAGTCCCTATAACGCATGCCCGCCATTCCCTACTATGTGGAGCACCCAGCGAAAGAGGCCACCAGTGTGGGCAGAGCCGCAGCGGCAGTGAAGAGCTGAGGGCAGACGAGGCTTCGGGATTTCAGGAACCGCAGGGGGCGGGAAGTCGAAACCTAAATAAGGGTTTCCGAAAATTAAGTCTACCTTATTTGGGGGTCCCTATAATAAGGATCCTACTATTTAGGGTCCTCTTTTAGGGTCCCCCATGGTCGGAAACTCCCAACTGCACCGGGCGGAACAACAGCTGTGATGACAGCCGTCACACAATAAGAAACCAGTGACACCCAGGCTACTTACGACCAGCTCTCAAACTGACGAGATGTGACAAAACCCTTATCAAACCCCAAGTACAGTCCTTATACCAAGCCATACATAGCCCGTCGTAGCCCTACGCAACGCCGTGAGATGCGTGTAAACCATCCAAGGGTAAAAGCAGGGACCCTTGAGGACCCCTAGGTATATACCCTTAATATATCTATTATATACCCATTATATAGCCCCATTATATGGTAGGGTCCCCATTAAGAGTCCCTCCTTTTCCCTTTGAAACCACACTCCTCCAGCTTTTCAGATCGTCTGAAAGGCCCTTTGGTTGTGAGGCTCCTTCCCGCCGCCCTTCGTGCCGAAAGGGGAGAATAGGCGAACTCTCATCCGAAGTATCCTAAACCCTAAACCCCAAACCCTAAACGGTAAACCCTAAACATCCCTAAACTTTAAACCTCGAACCCTAAATCCCTAAACCCTGAACCCCTGAACCCTAAACCCGAATAAAAGGACCTTTCAACTGGCACTGCAGCGGTCGGCCTGCCCCCATACAGTAAGAGTCTATAATAGGGCTACTATTAAGGTCCTAATATATCTATATGGGTGGTTGTCAAGATTATGGTAGCTTTTTGGGCACCCTAAATATTAGGTGCCGTACTATAATAGGGACAAAAAGGGACCAGAATTTTGACAACCACCAATATTATGATATTCATTCAACTATTACTGCGTGGGCGCGTACCTAACCCAAGCCCAAAGGGAGTACCTTATAGGATTCTAACTATGAACCCCAAAAAGGAACTACTATGGGGCCTATGGGTAATAGCCAGACTAGGGGTTGGGAGTATGGACGTACCTAAGGCCCTCCAGCACTCGGCCTGCCAACCCAGCTGCTCCAACAAGAGCCAGGCCATCAGGACCCTCGGATGTCTTGGGTTTAGTACGGCCCATGGGGGTTTAGGGTTTAGGGTTTTAGTAGGGTTTAGTAAGGCCCATGGGGGTTTAGGGTTTAGGGCTTTAGTAGGGTTCAGGAAGGCCCATGGGGTTTAGGGTTTAGGGTTTTAGTAGGGTTTAGTAAGGCCCCATAGTAGTTAAAGGGACCTTAATTTTGACAACTACCCATAGATCTGAAAAAACTGGCGGAGTGTGGTTTACCCATAGGCCCCATAGTAGTTCCTCTTTGGGACTACCTCATAAGATTCCAAATATGAACTTTGGGGCCTTAGGGTAGTAAGGCGCAGGGTACCCCAAAAGCCTAAACCAGACCCTAAACCCTACGCCTTGTTTTGTTGTTAAGCTCCTTTTTGCGTCTGCCCATCTGTCTGAGCATCCCCAAGGCGATTGTAACACCGTTTCGGGCTAAGGGCCGAGCTGGGTTTAGGCTGCACGGTGCATGTCGTCAGGTTTTGTGGCTTCTGGGGTCTACCTGTAGCCGAAAAGACCTAGCTCTTGGGGCTTCCTTGTTATGGTTTCTATATATAGCTCCCGAAAAAGTAGGTCTTTTGGGCTACAGGTAGATGGTCTGGGGGAAAATGTTGCGCTGTATGGGGTTTAGGACTTCGCAGGGCGTCGGTATTGAGGGTTTGGGCTGTGGATTTGGGACTTACCTGAAGCTACCATAACCTCCTTTGTTGTAGGTTTTTATTAGAAACTCTAATATGGGATTTATAGGGACCCTACAAAAAAGTAGGTTTGGTAGGTTAAGGTAGGACCCGTGTTTATGAGGTCTTGGAACTCGGGTTGAGGGCTGGGGGTTCAGGAACTGAAGGCTTGGAAACTCGGGTTGGGAGCTTCGTTGAGCTCTGGTTTGTGTGCTTTTTGTCTTTGCATAGGGCTCCAGTCAAGTCATTCGGGTCTGCCTTCGAATCCTTCATTTTGCTGAACTCCATACAGAGCTTGGGATTTTCAGGGGTTGGAGTTTGGGCTCAGCATTCGAGAATTTCGAGGAAGGGCGTGCGGTTTGGAAGTAGCTGTGTACGTTCTGCTTGGCTTCTTTATTTTACCATGGCGGAGGCCATGTGCCTGGAGTACAAGTCCCGCACCCCCGTCCGTGAGCTTGAAGCCATCAGCCCGGAGCCCTAAATTAAACCCAAAGCCCAACTGCAAACCAGCATGTCAACGGGTTTAGGGCCTTAGGGTTTAGGAAGCCACGAGGTTGACAATGTGGCAGGATCGACAGGTAGAAAGACAACGGTGACAATGCGTTTACAAGGTCTGCTGAGGCAGTGCTATGAGTAGGGATGATGACGATAATCGTAACACGTTGGTAGTAATAAGCCTTGCGTCCAAGAGGCACATAGAGACTCCCTGCAGTCCAGAAAAACCTGACGAACAATCCCCAGGCGGCTCAGTGTGCGTGCGTGTGCGCGCACTCATGACACAGCCCAGCAGGTCTCCCCCGTACAATGATGATCAGGCATCGGTTGGTTCGGCGATAGGTAAGACTCCGTTAGGCTCACTACCGCGGACGAAAAAGTCTGAAGCGCTGGATTCTTTTCTGTAGTTACAATCTGCGCATATTACTGCGAGACAGCAGAATGCAGCGTTTGCGGGAGTTGCATAACATTCAGACAAATTGCACACTCGAAATACGGCTAAGCGGCGATTCAAGAAACAACAAACAAACCGCTATATTCTAGGAACGTCGAACCCAGAACCCTAATGCCCCAGGGCTGAGTATGCGCTTGGAATCCCCGCACCCTACAGCAAGTCCTTCCCCCCTCTTCAGAGCTTGATGTTTCGGTGGTCTGTACTACTGCTATACGATGATTATGCGGCCACAACTTTCTACGGTTATGCAAGACTCATGTGAGCCTCTCTAGGACTCTGGGGTCATATCAAGATTGATTATGGGACGACATGTAACCTGCTACCTAAGGTTATGCCATACTTGTGGTGCGGTCCTATAGGGCCTCGAGTGTACGGGCGAAACCTGTAGGGCTGTAGGCTTCAAGGGCGCTATGGGGTGCTTGGTGTCGGAGGCCTCGGCAGTGACATTGTCAGTTGTTTTTATGGCATGGCAGCAGCTTTCATTTATCGATTCTCAAACCTTTGGGGATTTCTGACTGAGACATCCGTCCGGCCACTTGCCAAGCCTATTCGGAGGTTTGGAGTTTGCAATATCGGTATGTTAGGAGCAAGTTTCTGTTGAACGTAGAACCCCCCTGACGCGAAAACAAAGCCCCTACAACATCGGCCGTGGTCTGAGCGTCCCTGAAGAAATGTCTCTTATGCCGCTGGAATTGTCCATGTAATTACCCATCTAGTATGTCATGTGCATCCTCATATTCCCAAGTCAAGTTTAGGGTTTTGGGGTTAGGGGTTCAGGGTATAACGGCTGCTTAGAAAGGGTCGATGAATCGATAAAGGTCTTAGAAGGCTTTATCAGCTCCAATCTGGGTTGCACAGGGACGCTTTGATTATACTTGGACCCCTTAGGGAAGCCTTGAACCATTTAAAGGTGCTGGTTTGCGATATACATTATAGAGCGAAGTCGCATAGGGATTACACATTGTAATCTGTTCTATCCTCAAAAACCATTAGCCGCTGATCCGCATAAGCCAGGAACCGGACACTAGACTCAACATTTTGCCCTACAACCCTTAACCCCAAAGGGCAAAACCAAAGAGATTACTTTTATGATTACCCTTGCAAGTTACTAGGTACCTCTTACGTATTACTCTTCGTCTTCTTACTCTTGCTACGATTATTTGAACCTTGACCTTGCCCAACGGCTCTGTGACTTTGGGGACCAGGCTCCATGTAAAAGCCGAACTTGCCGCGGCCTTTCTCATGTTAGGGTTCTGGCTTTAGGGATAGTGCTTGCAGCAATCATACAGTTTAGTAGTTTAGTACAGTACAGTAGTAACGGTAGTATTAACGAGGCTAGTCACACGAACAACCCTTTGCACAACGATATCAGTCATACTTCTGCATGCTGGCAAGTACCCCAATTGGACAAAACACCCTAAACCCTCAACCCTGCAGGGTTGGGGTTGGAACTTGCCTTTAGGGGCGTGGGTTGGGAGCTCCTCAGAGTTTTGCAGTCTTGGCTTACGCGCGGGGCTTGTGTGTAGTGTATATAATAATATGTAGATATCAGAAGGGGCCCCCACCCTGTAATAGTGGTATAATAGGAACATGATAGGGCCCTAATACAATCCTTATAGTCACGATTACAGGGTGGGGGCCCCTTCTAATGTACATACGTGGATCCTTGAAGAAACACAACATCCTAAACCCCAAACCCGGACATCCTAAACCCCATACAAGCCCTCAGCCCCTCATAGACCCCCAGCCCCAGACTCTCTCGAATAATGTAGGAACCTGATTAAGAAACCCTGGGCCTACAACCCCAAAATAGTAGGATCCATACCAGGAACCCAAATAAAGGCCCAAGGTTTCTTGATCGGGTTCCTCCATTTCTATAGTACCCCTATAGGCTCATAGCTACTCTTATAGATCCCTTTATAAGGCACCCTAATAAAGGTCCAAGGTTTCTTAATCGGGTTCCTACATTAACTCCTAAAAGCTGCAGTCTCCCAGAGCTCCGATGGCCTGAGCTAGGCATGGCTTCGGCGAGGATGTCGAAGCCAACAGGGAGACCTCACGAAGCTTGGGCTGGTACCCGTGTAAAATTTTTATCTATGTAAATAAATATGTACACAGTAAGTAAATAGTCTATGTTTATAAATAAATATATATATATATATATAAACAAACATATACATTTACCGGTACATTAGGATTTGGGGTCTAGGGTGTAGGATTTAAAGGAGGAGGAGTATTGGGAGTTAGCGTGTGGGTGTGCAACACGACTCACTTGGGCCTGCTTCGTACGATTTCCTTATGCCTATCATGTGCCATGGTAAAGGCTTGGGCCTTACAAAAGACACGGAATGAAGGCGCAAAGACCAAGCCATGAGTAGTTCACATCTCGTGTTAGTACCCGTACTTGGAGGGTCATGGGTAGCTAGAAGTGGGGTTATCAGTAGGGTAAGTATAGCGATAACCCATACTAGGGAATCCTCCAAGTAGGCTCCGAAATAGAGGGCCCAAAGCCTGGCAAAGCTAGCGACTAATAGTAGATTATTGCTAAGGAAGATCAGCAAGAGAGAACCGCCAAAGCAAAGAGCAGTCTTGTGTCAGACTCATGGTACTGATATACTGTAAAGACTGGAGCATTTCTGTCAACAACCCTGTATGGCAGCATCTCCAGACAAGCCTCAGAAGCAATATATAGAGGGCTTCTTTGGGGTGTATGACAGTATACTGCATTCTGCTGAAAAAAATTCAGGATTCAGTTCTCTATATTTAGATCCCCGGAATCCCAAAACCCTCAGCCGCGAATCCTCAAACCTTGACCCTCAGCCCCAAATCCCGGACCCTTCGCCCTGAACCCCAAATCCTTGGGCTTGAGCCCTAAATCCCCATCACATCAACCCCCTAGAGATTGTTAAGTTAAAGGGCCTTAAGATGTTGAAGGGTGAGCCCGAAGGGCTGTGGGTTTGGACTCAGGGTTTAGGTCTAGGAGTTTAGGGTTTACGACGGTTTCGGGTTCAGGGTACCGAATGGTATAACAGCATCCCTATCAGCACTGTACTCCGGGCGTGAGTAGTAATACTCTGCACTGGTTCTATCTGGTTCTTCTCGGCATCTTCTTTGTTCCCTAAGACAATACCCAAACAGTTCAGTTTGATCCTGAAAGGCTTTTGATAAGACTGAGGCTCCAGGGCTTAGGGCCTACTTAAAGGCCCAGGGTCCAGCCGTATTCGCTAAATCCTCAGAAGGTCAGCCAACAACCCTAAACCCTAAACCCGACATCTTCAGAGATTTCGCAGTGCATTCCGGGCCTGCCACTCCGACACCGACGATTGCCCGCATGATGATGAGGCTGTAGAATCCCTGACCTCGCTCTCCACAAAAGCACGTCGCAATTTAGCGCCAGTTAGCGCGGAATAGCGAGGATTGTAAGAAAATCCACAAAGGCGAACGACGAGCAACTGCAGCAACAACACTATAGAAGCAGCAGCAGCTCCAGCGCTACTATGACCGGCCAACACCTACACTTTCGGCTTTCGACGTGCGGGAGTGTGGGGAGGACTGCGACCTCTGTCTACGATCGAATGGTACTTAGGCTTTAGGGTTTAGGGGTTTAAGGTTTGTGGACCGAGCACCAATGACATCGCTCATATAGGAAATCACTGTAGTCTCACGCGTGAAGGGGGCCGCTTTGTAGATCCCGATGTGCCCAAGTAATATAGCTGCCTTAGTAATTAGAATAGGGTTTGGGGCATATTAGATCATAACTATAGTAGTGAACCCCCACAAGATGGTATGTGCAATTCCTTTGGCCTCTATGGTACTTTTCCTGCCGGGCCGTTGCAGGGAGTCCAGCGACGAGACCACTCATGAGCACCGAGTACGGCAGAACACCAGCATGTGCAGCGGCAGCGGCCGCTGCAGCTTGGGCAGAGGCAGGGCAGCGCCATGGAAGAAAGATCGACGAAGGCGACAACATGAATCGAAGCAAACAGTTACAGCCACGCCGAAACCGACGACCACGGCGAGGCCACAACGACCACAACAACACAACGACCGAAACAGAAGCAGCACTAGCGACGAAGGCATCATTGCTAAGTCTCAATGCGCACAGGCAAAGCCTACACTCCAAGCCTGGAAAACCTACAGCCCTGAACCCTTAAAACGTAAACCAACTGCAACATAACATTCGGGCGTGAACAGGTTGAAGAGGGGTCTGGGTTTCATTCCAGCGTAGTCACAAAAAGCATACAACAAGCTACATAAGTGGCTGAGCAAACTAGTCTTCCACCTCGCCATTATTTGACGACCGACTGCCAAACTGAGAACGGTGCACAGCGCCGTCAGAAAGCCAAAGGTGGTGATGATGAGTGAGGAAAGCAAAAAGGCCCTCGGCCACAGAAACGATTAGAGGTTAGGGCTCTTAAGGGTCTTGGGGCTGATATGATTTGTGCTTACAGGGTTTAGTTTTAGGTTTAGGGGCTTTCGGGGATTAGGACGAAAGGCTTCGAGGGTGAGCGGGATGATGCGTTCGCGATTTAGGGTCGTAGGTTCGAGGTTTGGGCAGATGCATCCCGGAATACAATGGGAATTGAATGACTGAGCAACTGCTGCAGCTCCAAAGTGGAGCACGGCGAGCCTGCCTTGGTGACTTGGGAACCCATGTGGACACCAAAGGGCCACCCGCATGTGTATGCACATTGTATTTATGTGTATGCATACATACATATGTATATATATATATATGTGCACATAGAGACTGTGTATTTTCTGCAGACAGACATGCAGGTAGAGCCTCAATCAGGGTGGTAGATTGTGTGACCGTGCCAAGGTGAACGCTTTACAGAAACGTAAGCATACTAGAGCATTCAATCCCCTGCTCCTGCTGTTGCAAGGGTTGAGTTTCCTGTAGCGCCGCTGACCTAAGCCCGCAAATGGCTTTGGGTTTACAGGGCTTGCAGTATGTGTGTGTGTGTGTGTGTGCAGTGACTATAACATGTAGCTGCAATGTAGCTTGTTACCAATATATCAGTGTGTGTATATATATGTACATACATGTACGCATGCATACATCTGTATGATATACATATACTTACATATGCATGGCTATAGTTAGATACACAGATATAGACACAGATGCACATACATACATACATACACACACACACGCACACACACACACAGACACGTATCTACATAGTATAAACATGCGTGTATATATATATATATATGTATATATATATATATGTATGTATGTATATATATATATATATATTTATTTATGTATATGTACGGTGCCCCGACCATGCTGTAAATCAATTCCACAGACTTGGAGCACGCACTTGCGGCACGACGCAGCTCTTTCTTCTCTGCATGCTGTCTTTTGCAGACTCCGTTCTACTAGCAGGACCGCACGTGACAGTCCCTGCTCCTGCTGACGGAGCGCCACCAAATGGCAGATGGACTTTTCTGATCTACGCATCGGAATGAGCATGACTATTCACACAGCTGGTAATCGAGGAAGCAGTCGATGTACACACTTACACTGTGACTTACACTGGTAATTGAGTGATCAGACAAACTGCAGTATACCACACCGGCAGAAACAAAAACAACAACAACCGCGTCAAATAATAGCAGATGCTGCCAGCGATACTGGGAAGCCTTCTGTTTTAAATCAAGATGGATTGGGGTATGCATGAACTCATATATGATATATATATATATGTATATATATATATATAGATGTATAGGCAGGCACCCCAGAAACTAAGCCTGAAAGCTAAAGGAGTGAAAGGCGCCGCGGCGCCGGGCTTCACAAACAGAAGGCGAGCTCAGTTCTGCTGCAGTCAGATGCATCGTCCCACAAGGCCTAAGGACTTGCCCTTGGTTAGTAGGGAATGGACGAATGGTAATTAGTAATAGTAAATATAATTGTACCCCATTCCTCCATTCCCTACTAACCAAAGGTAAGAGGAAAGGCAGAGACGGGCAATGCCATTGAAGTCTCGGTTGGGACTTCGGGTTTGAGGCGTTAGGGAAGCCGGTGTTGGATTCAGGGTTTGGGGTTAAGGGCTTTTGGTGGCGCTGGCCCGGAAAAAACGGACTGAAGCTCATGCTGTCGGTCCAGAGTCTCAGTGTTTTTGCGTGCGGAATCGGAATAGCACTTGCAAGCAAAAGCACTGGCAGTGGTTGTGGTGGTGGTAGTAGAGGTGGCCGTGGTAGTGGAAGTGGTTGCAGGTGTCGTCGTAGTAGTCGGAGTGGCCGTAGTGGCAGCAGTGGCAGTGGCACTGGCAGTCGCAGTGGCAGTAGTCGTCATACTAGTAATTAGTCGTCATAGTAGTAGTCGTAGTGGTGGTGGTGGCCGTACTCGTGGTGGTAGTAGTTCTTCTTGTTGCTGCTGCTGCAGCAGCATGGTAGACGAGAACTAACTAGCAGAAGAACCAGTAGCGGCAGTCAAAATCATGCTTAGAAGACTATCTCCAATGAAACTCCTTGCACAACTCACCATAAAATAAACTCTAAACCCTAAACCTCAACCAAGAAGATACAAGCTCCTCAATTCAGCAGGGTCGCAGTCAGTGATGCCCACATTCTTCTTCTTATGCATGACCTGGGCGAGTAATGCAGGGGCCTTACTAATTAGATTAGACTTTTGGGGTGTATTGTACTACAGCTACAATAAGGAACCCCCCAAAGTATAGGTCACTACAAAGGCCCTTACAGTAGGTATCATAAGTGGAGCTTGTAGTCAATTGCTGGTCTGCAGATGGTACTTTGCAGTCTTCCCTGTTACTTGTCAAATATTCAAAGACGCAGCCAGAAAAGCAGAAACTGCCGGAATTATGCAAACATGTACGAACCCAACACTTTATAGGGGATTTAATAATGAGATTAGGTTTTCGGGGCCCATTGGAATGGTACTGTTAGTAGTTATAATAAGGAACCCCAAAATAGCATAGGCAATTGCTCACGCCCCTACATTATCATCTTAACGCTCGGCAAACCAATCCGAGTTTGGTACAAGACCGCCCACTTTTCAGGTGGGACCTCGGGAACTCGCAACCAACAACTTCGAAACCGTTTAGATTACAGTTTGCACGATAGCATGCACAGATCTAACTTCCGCAACCCTTATGGTTATGGTTTGTTTAAACCTAAACCCTGGACTACCAAACTTCCTGAAGCCCTAAATCCTGCAACCTATCTGTGCCCAAAATCTGACCTTTCTGAAAAGACGACTGCGGCTGAGTAGCTTCGGCTGCCAGATTCAGCACCGAAGAAAAGACTGGTACGGGCATCTCCTTGGAACTGTGCCGGTGAAAGGTTGGGGTTTTTGGACCTAGGGTGGCGGTGTACTTCATGAGCGCTTGTATGGTGTCTATAGTACGTATATTGATCTCATGCCTGCACCCTAAACTCTAAACCTTGCACGCGAACAAAAAAACAAAAATCTGAAGTGGAACGGGTTCGGAACATCCCCGCGAACTGTAGAGTCTCCGCGCACAGGCTTAAGGGCTTAAGGGGGTTTAGGACCAGGGGTCTAGATGTTGAGGGGTTCAGGGAAACCTCATCTTAAAGGCGCTTATAGGGTTTAGTACGGGTTCCAAATGAGGGTACTATGAGGCTTCCGGGTCGGGGGTGTAGGGTTACTATGAGGCCCATGTGTTCCAGTTACTTGAAGGCTCATGGGACTTAGTATGTAAGGTTATAAGGAGGTGATAATTAGCATAACCCCACTTAAGGGACTTATAACCCCAACTATAACCTACTTACTAAGTCCCATGATCCTCTAAGTAGACCCTAAACCCTAAATCCTATAGATCAGATCCCTCTAAGGAAGCCGATAGATCCCTTTTAGAAGCCCTTTATGGGTACATGGAGCCTTCGGGAGTCAGCCGAAGAGCACTGCATTTGTGGGGCTCCACATCAACCTCGCGATGACTTAGCCTGCTTCGCTCCTCCCTTTGGCTCGCGATCCTGCGACAAGGGTTTAGGGTTTAAAGGTTTAGGGTTTAGGGTTTAGGGGGAATCATCAGCAAGCCTACGGTCTTGACACCAAGGTGGACCTTAAAGATTCGAGAGGGCTTTGTCGATATTGCGACATGCTCTAAAAAGGAACCCTACGCATAACAGCAAACCGCCATCAAGGAACAGAAGTTCTTTGAGAACCATGAGCCTGTAAGGATTTTTCACAAGGGTTTGGAATCCGCGCGTGCTACTGGAAACTGGTCCCAGATCACTAAACCAACCTCCAACCCCAAACAAGCTGAACCCCAACAACGCACGCCCGATACCCTAAACCGAAAAATGGCAAAAAGGCAGGGTAGGAGCCTGCCCACACCGTCGCAGGCTTTGCAGACGTCGCCACTCCTACAGACAGATGCGGCAATGAGAGGACAAGGCTGGGATGTCGGGGCTCAGAATCGTAGGGCCCTCGTAGGGCCTTGGGGTCTCAGGGTCGGAGCGTTTTCGGGTCGAGGGTTCAGAGGGAGGGTTGATGGATCACATGTGGGTAGTTGTCAATTTTGACAACCACCCATGTAGTACACTGTAGATGCAGCCTGTAGTTGTGACAAGACTGCAACATGAAGTGTGAAGTGTGTATGAATATCGGCTCATACATGCATGCATGTACACGGGCACGGGGACAGATAGACTGACAGACAGATAGACAGACAGACAGTCGACGGACAAATGCATGATTTATAAGTTTGTGTGATGATAATTGGCAAGAAAATGCGAGTCACAGTTGCATGATTTGGGTCTCTGGATGTGCGGCGAAATTGCTGTGGCTTTAGGCTTCCAGAACGTTCTGATTTACGAGATGATGTTGGAACAAAAACGTGAAATTCCCGTGTGTAAGGAGCTGTTGCTAAGGTCACTTCAACTTACAAAAAATGTCATCCAGCAAGTTTAAACCTATCAAGACACTATATTGAACTTAGAACCCTAGCAAAAATCATAATTTTAGCTGTTTCTAAGGGATTATAATAACCAACAATTAAACAAATATTTCTAAGTACCCCTAAGAAGAGCCTCTACAAACCTTGACCAATCCAAACCCTCAAAAATGGCGGGGGGTTCCGAAAATAGGGGACCCTAATATAGCACCTCAAACAGTAGGATCCTGCAAAATGAGGTACCTCCAATTGTCGGAAACTCCCAAACCACATCGTCAGCCAAGTTGCTGGGAGCTCCGGCCCAGTCCATGGCAGCTTCGGCATTGCAAGCTCTCCCTTACCTTTCGACGCACTTGCTTTGTGGTGGGTCCGCGGGTGGGTGCGCGGGTGGGTGGGGGTATCTGGGAAAGTTTGCTGGGGTTTGTGGGCGGGGCTTGCAAATTTGAGGTGCCCCTAAAAGAAAACAGCGGCTGCTATACGCCTCGTACTACTGCTAGTACGACGACGACTCTGCTACTCCTAACTACTAGCTCCTGATACTCCTGATACTTCAAACACTACTGATACTACAGATACTACTGCTACTACTGATGCTACAAATACGACTGATACTGCTGATACTGCTGATACTACTGATACAACTGGTTCTTCTTCTTCTACTACTACTACTGCTGCTTCAACTACTACTTCTTCTACTACTACGACTACGACGACTACTACGACGACGATTATTACCACCAGCACAAGTATTTTTGCCTGGAACTCCTAAGAACCCTTAACTGAACTCGAACCCCATGAACCCTAAAGCCAATCTGCTTTATCTGGCCTTCTCGATCTCATAGGTGATCTCAAGGGTCGTCATATACGACTTGCCACAACGTTCACAGCACTCCTGCTCCACCTTGGGCTTGCATACAGCAAGCCTTTAACATTCGAACAGGCTTTTGAGGGAGTCTTGTGATATACACCATTATGAAAAGCCTACCAAACCTTTCGTTGCTAGTTTCTAGCTAATCTGACCTCTGCATTGGAAATGAACGTGCTCTTGACGACCTCGGGGGTGTTAGTCAGTGTTTGCACCAAGACCGCATTATAGTCACCATTGTCACCAAATTATTGCAGCCACAATTGAAAATAGCAGTACTCCATTAATTATTGTTTTTGGAGCACGGAGCTTTCGGCTCAGGATCCATTCCTGGTGAGTGAAGGGGTGGTCATTACAGACATGGGGCATCGGCACCCGCAAGAGCTCAAGTAGGTTAAGATCACGCCAAGCCACCTAAACATCAACTGCTTCATATAGTACTCCCAGAAGGGGGAAGGCTCCACTACACTAAACACAAAGCCTAAACTGGTACTACAAGGTGGAGCAGGAATCATTGTTCGAAGTTTTGGGCGCCCGGTTACTGCTGCGCTTTCACGCGGCTGAGCACCCGCTCGGCCAGCTCAGGTGTTGGGGTTCAAGGATTCGGGTCAGCTTTGCGCTTTCGGGGTGTGCGGTTCAAGCCTTGAGCCAGAAACCACTGAAAGCAAACATCAGGTGGACCAATCGACGCCATATAAACCCAGAGCGGAACGCGGCCTCCATAATCTTGGCTACATAGGCCCTGGATCCTAAGCCACAACCAAATCACCAAATCCGAAGGCCTTGACCCGCAGCTGCACCATCGGGTTAACGATTTCGGGCACCCGAAACTTAAAGCAGCGAAGCCTCATCTCACTTGCTAGACGTACCCTGAACCCGCAACCCTGCAACACCCGAAACCCCATAACACCCTCAGAGACGAGGGGCAGCTCGCTCGCACTTCGTGTACTTCGCCGAGCCGGCCCCCATGGCGGAAAGGTTCTTTGCTCTCGGTGCAAGTTCTTTGCCGGCTCCGAGCGATTGCTACGCAGATAGTTTTGGGGCTTCGGCTGGGGTGTGTATTTCGGGAACAGTGGGGCATAATTTCTGTGTGACACAGCAAAAAAAAGGCCGTGGCTCACAGGATTCGTGCTTTGGGATTAAAGAATCTGCAGGAACAACCGGGCGTCTCGGAAAACATAGGCTCCCAACATGCATTATTACTCTTCAGATGCTGTTAATTCTCTGATGAACAAACAGAAGAAGCGTCAACTGTGGATGCCCTTCGCCGTAACAGTCAAATACAATGGTCAATCCGAACCCTGAAACCTAAGTCTGGCTCCGCAAACAGCATCCATTTCGCAGGCCTTTCCTTTCTTAAGGCGTCGTAGTGCAGTCTATGGAAACTGAGCCAAGCGGCGACGGAAATGTTTGAAACATAACGGTTTAGGGTTCAGGACTGAATGTTCAGGATTTAAGATTCATATTGCGGGTTTAGGCAGACTTTTCAACTCGAACTCTAACTCCTCGAGAATCGGACCTTGCAGCCGCCCGAACCTTCATTCAAAAGCCAGCTTCAACAACAAGGAAACGATACACGGAGAACGACATAGTCGTATAAACAAACTAACCCGTCATCCGAAATTTCAAAACCTGAACGAATCCAGCTGTCCATTCAAACCTTACAATAATATCTATGCACATGGTTGTTTGTGTGTCTGCGAGTACCTGTGGCAGGGTCGGGTTATTGGTGCAAGTGCCCCTCAAAACAGGACCCGACATATGCAATCATACACATTCTTAAGAAGACGCCATTTCACGCAACCCAACATGATCTCAATTCCTTCTTCATAGGCACACAAAACCACGACTATGTACCCGATGCTTCATATTAGCCTGTATACATCAACAAAGACAACCCTGTCTCAATCATAAGACTTAAAGGGTGCAAGTGCCTTAAAGGCGAGTTCTGACTGCCTAAACCATTTTGAGAATGAGGTGTTTGACTGTGTTCTTTAACTGAGGCCCGGGAAAAAGTTCAAACTTTTTCCACTATTTTAGTGGCAACGACACAACTGCAGAACTACACAGCTGCAGCACAGCAGGATGCCACACTTGTTTCCTTCAAGCACGCTGGTCTGATGTTGAACGGGGGGTCTTCATGATGCAGAACAGCTGGAGTCTGAAGGTTATAAGACTGTTGGAACTGCAAGCCCGTGCAATGAGACGTTGAAAGAGCTCAGGGTAATATGACTATGGCGGCTGCGTCTCAGAACTTTGGCCTCAGCAAACCAGGCCCAAAGAAGTAAAACAAATGGAAGAAAAGTCTCGCTGCGACAGGAACTCGGATCCCTGCCAGCACTGGCATGCTCTTGACTCTGACCTGGGTCAGAGTTGCTGGGATGGAGGCAGCACAAAGCAGAACACGTACAGGCAAGCTGAACAGCATTTCTGGAAGCCGGTGCTCAAGGTCAAAGTCAAAACTTCACTGCAAGCTCAAGTCGACCATCATCGATCTGGCGAATCTAGGCCGAGGTCTGAGAGGATCCTCGGCAGATTTAAAGCCCCCAATATGAAACAACCCGTACCAACCTGTACACAAACACCGAAGCAAAACACGATGATGTACTAACTAATTAAATAATTTACCAATTATTGCCAGGCACCTTTCTGAAACACATCCAATGCCAGAGCTGTTCGGAGAACAATGTCCATGATCTCCTTCGGTGGAGTCTTGGCCACGATGTTGGTTGCAGCTTTCTTCGGCTCAACGAGGTGCAACTTGACGTTGTGCCTCTTCCAGCCAAGCCAGCCCAAATACTCCTGCAGCCCGACCATATGGAAGGCACCGTTTGTAGACATCATGACATCTGAGGAACTCCTGAGACGCGGGGGCGTTTGTGAGCATCGGGATCTTTTGCCACCGCCGGAAACATCCTTGTACCATATCTGCTCGGTGTCGCCGTGCTCCTTCCGAACCTGATTCAAGAGCTCCGCGGTGTCCATGCAGCGCTTGTTCTTGTCCCGGCGCTTCTCCCCGTCCTCCTCAGCCTCTGCCACGTCATCGCTTGGCTGCGCATCCCAGTTGAAGATCTGCAGGGTTGAGCTGGGACTTCCGGGGGACGGAACGTACGCCACGACACCGGCCCCTGTCTTGGAAGCTTCATCCATCATCGTCAGAACTTTGCGGTTGTCCTGGCCGCTTTTGTAGACGATCACACCCCAGCACACGTCAGAGAACGGCGAGAAACTCTCGAAGTGGAACATTTTCACAGCAGCGCGAAAGCCGGAGTCGGGATTCACGATCTTGCTAAGCACGCTGTCATCCGGGGCGACTGGCAAAATCAGGGCCAGCACGGCCACACCCAGGTCATTCAATCCCCAGTTCAGTACCCACTTGAAGTCATCCTGATTCTCAGCTGTTCCTGCAAGCATGGTTCTCGACATCGGGCATTTGAAGCAAGCCTTTGTGAAGTCACCGATCGTTGTTATTGGCAAGAACTCATCATTATAGCGGATGCGAGCAAGTGCCCTCACCTCACTGTCTCGGCAAAGTGTGTGCACTGTGGTGATTTGTCCATCCCCTTGCAGCACTGCTCCGTTCAAGGCGCCGCCATACCATGCGATCTCCACCATTATCGCAGCAAGAGCAACTCAAAGTCAAAAAGCACCAACAAGTACCACTACCGCTCAACGCCTACCCTGTCACCTGAGGTCAGAATCAGAAGTTCCAGTTGAGCCAAATGTCATGTTGCCAGGCTACTGCCAGGCCCGTTAGGCCCGAAACAAGAACCACTCGTGAACAGGTGGAGAACACTTGCTCAGCCAATCAATCGTTCCATGAGGCAACTGTCGCTGCAGCTAGGCACCTGGCCTTCTGAAGGCCCCAGTTCTGGGCCTGGGCACAAGCTGAGGGTTTGGGGCCATGTGTCAAGTCTATAGGCTTTCGAGCTTAGAGTCTCAGGCGGTCTAATTTCGGACTCCGCTGGCTTCCGCATGAGATGGCCCCCTCCCAACTCAACATGACACAGTTGACTGATTGACATTTTCATGTCAATCAGTCCGGCGCCCAATCAAAACTGTTACTTCTAATGATGCCTTGTCATTTGCAAGGCATCAGCATGGCCCACCAGCACTCCCTCGACCGCATCTCCTTGATGCTAATCAATCGAGTCGAGACAAGGTGCTGCAGATATTGTCGCCTCTTCTCATCGTCGTCTGGTACTCCACTCATGGCGAAAGCGAAGCTCGCCAAAGACCGCGCGCAAGAATCTGATGCAAAACCCACTTTCTGTTCCTCAAAACGCTGGACCAAGGTCATGGAGACGGCAATAACTTGGTAGGCAGTGCTACACCCGAACAAGTTCGAGAGCTCTGCAAGTACCTTCTGCTCCAGTTGCGTCCGCATGGCGTCGTAGCAAGTGGATGCTTGCACTGGCATCGATGCCGGCAGCTGTGCTGCCTGCTCCAGATCTGCTCCTGTTGCATTGGCAGCCGATGCCGAGACTTGCTCTGCTCCCTCTGCGCTGGCAGCCGATGGTGATTCATCTCCTTCGGCGGTGGCAGCCGGCTGGGATTCCGGATCTGCTTTTGGAGCTCCAGTCGAAGAGACGGCAGCCTTGCGCTTGTATCTGCAGCTCGGTTTTACGTTGTGGCGGCCTCGGTGGGATGACCTGCAGTTCTTACATATCTGGGAGGGCTTTCTTCTCCAAGTCTGGCCGCCGCAGCGCTCGCACTTAAACCCGGGCATGGCCCAGGAGTGCTTGAGCTTACGAAGCAGGGGCTCGGGTTTGCAAAGGATTATGCGATGCTTTCGTTCAACGCTTTGTTTCCGCTCAGCCAAAGCGGCTTGGCGCCAGTGGTTCATAAGAAGAACTAACTGATTGCACAGTGAAAGGGAAGCACGTTGCTACGCGTAGATTCCTCAAGCCTACATGTTGTGATCAACTCTGGCGATCAAACTTTACGACTAAAGGCTTCTGTTAGGGTTTAGCTTACGGCCAGTTTGCTTCTACTTCCCAGTAGCACACTCCTGCAAGCCACGATTTAGCATCCGCAGGTGTTCGTGCCACAAAGCTTCATGCTATTGGACAGCACACCCCAAGCTGACGACACACTGCGCTGTCATCAGGCAGACAAGATTGGGCCGCACGCGCAAATGCTGCCGCGCCATCGCACCTGGGAGTTGCTGAAAGCCAATCCCGAGACAAGGTGCGACTGCGAAGACAGTGATTGAGTCTGAATGCTTAGTCGCGGGCTCCCAGTCGCACCTCAAGTCGCACCTTCAGTCGCGCAATGAGCTTTAGTCGAGGTTACACAGGGCTGTCCATGGGTTGGCAAAATCACGACTCGGCGAAGTCGCACAGCATGCTTTGTTTTCTGCGTGTTGCCGGTCTAAGCGAAGGGGTTCAAAATCTGCACCAAGCTCACAAATGAGCTCAGGTGCTGAATGAGAAGGCCGCATCATATCGTGGGCCAGGCGATTTAAAATCTAGACAGCTGTGTAAGCTGAACGCCCGCCATTGCCACTCCCTTATTCAGGGTCCCGGTCCGAATCCGGGTCGTCTCCTGCGACCGAGTCCTGGCACTGGTCTCCTGTCGTGACAACCCCAGCATCATCATTGCCCTCCATGGAATTCGCCAGGCGGCGCCGCTTGGCCCGGATTTTCTCGAGAAGCCCTCGGCATTGCTTCAGGCTGCGGACGATTCAGGGGTTTGTGGCTTCATGTTCGAGACTCCAGCGTTTATGGTTTACATGAAGCTGTACTGACACTTCAGGGTCGCTCAGTGTCTGCGGCGAGTGTGTTTTGTGTGCTTCCAGGCTGCGGGTACAAGACAGTGGTGTTTTGAGCTGTTATACACGTTTTGCGATGACAGCAGTTGTATGCTGAAGCTCCACGACAACAATGACACAACAAATCTTTCAGGCTGAAATAAATTCCCGCACCCTTCCGGTTCGTTGGGCAAGGGACGCACCGATTCGTCGATTTCCCGGTCCAGCTGCAAGATCTGCATTCGCGAGCCCATCCTCTCCTGAATCTGGAACCAACCTGTCAAGGTCATGGCCGGCTCCTTTTCGAAGCCAATGTTTCCAGTCATCACCACCTGACTGTCCCAGTTGGCACCTTTGCGTGGAACCTGGTAGAAGTCAGCCATGCTGGACTGGGTGTGGCGCAACAGCGGCGGCTTTGAGAAGAAGCTAGTGAAATGCTTGATCTGCACCTCGCAAGACTGGCCAAGGGACGCCCAAAAGCCCCACATGGCACATGTGGTCGGGGAGTTGAACATGTAGTCGACGCCGCGGTCCTGAGCTGATGATTTCTTGATCTTGCCCTTGTTGGAGCTCAAGTGCTTCTCGATGTACTGCATGGCTTTCCAATGCTCGGTGGCATCGTGGAGCTGGTACAGGTGCCAGGCATTGCCATCCTCGGAGCTGCCCTGACGCTGTCCAGAGCCAGGGCCGTTGCACACCACATTCAGGGTCACCATGAACGTTTTCATCTCCACGACCCCTTCCATGAGCTCCGGATGTTGCACCCGAAACATTGGCATCTCAAATGTCTTGGAATACCCCGGACCCTTGTCATTGTCGAAGATCTGCACCCAGTGGTTCTCCCAGGCAGTCTGGCTTTTGAGGATAGTGCATTCCACAATGCGGAACCTCTTTTGCTGGAGTACCGACCGAAGTTCCTCGCCAGAGGCACGATTCCGGATAGGCTTGGGGTCGCCATCAGAAAGCTTGTACCCGATCCTTAGCTGCTGCTACGTCGCTGCAAATGCAACAGGAAGCAATTTAGGCCGACAGCTCGAAAAAACGCATGGTGCAGATTCAGCCCAGAATCCCCCGGACAGCACCCCTGAACTCGGAGCACACAGCCTGGCCAAGATCTGGGAGGAATAAAACCGTCATGGCTTTGTCCTCATCCTTCACTGTGCTCGACTCCGGGAAAGCGGCGTACCCCACCAGAACCATGGCAACGGCCAATCAAGACCGGAAGCAGCGGAGGCCAAAAACTTCAAAGATCTGTAAGCAAAACGTCAAGAAGACGCGATTTCCGAGCGGTTCCATCACGAACGACTGATGCTCAAGACGCCACAACAGCACAAGCCCGCCAGCTGTGGCCTTACGGGTGCGATCGGTTTCCAAACCTGAGTGACACAGCTGAAAGAAGATTAAGAGCACTGAAAAATGCCGCAACTTGTCGGCTTGGTTCCCGTGCAAACGTCCTGCAAGAGTGAGTGGCCCTGGCGGGCGACCTGCAGAAGGGGTTTATACGTTGCGTCGCACTTTCCTTCACCAGGCATCGCACTTCTCCGTCTCTGTCTCGGCCGCTTCATCGGGTAGACCCGAAAGGAGGACCTGAACTTTGTTCCTCGCAAGAGCAGGAATTTCGAGGGCTTGTGAGTAATAAAGGGGCCTGAATAGTTACTAACACTATTTTGGTGGTTCTTTTCTTATAAATAGAGTATACCAAACCCTATTCTAATCATTAAGGCCCTCTAGTAAGTAAGGGTTTGGAGTCTACGGTTTACGGTTTTTTGTGGGGTCGGGTTTGGCGTACGCTTCCGGACTTGTCCTAGGTTACAGAGGCACGAGGGGTTGTTCAAGTTCGAGGGTTTAGGGGTTCGAGTGTTTAAGAAAATAGACTTCCGAGCCCCAGCTCACCCGTGATTGCTTGCAGGGCTGGAGCGGATGTTTTTAAGCGCGGACACCCAAACATTACAACAGTAGTATAACACTTAACAGTATAACATATAATATTACCTAAATCATGCATCCCAAACCCATAAACCATAAACTCTAAACCCTGAACTAACCCTGAACCCTACGCCATAAATCCTAGACCCTAAATCCCGCGACTGCTGTCCTGAAAAGCTGCATCAGGAACTCCTTGTGGCGCTTGGAGTCGGAGAGCACCTCCAGAACAAGGGACATGGGCAGTAGCAGAAGTAGAATCACCAACAAGTATAGACCACCCTGTGTTGATATGAATGCCAGTACTGGATACTAACGGCAGCAATGATGCTAAAGATACCTGTATTGATACTAGAAGCCCCTGGACCCCAAGTTCGAACAATGTCTGTTCACAACCCCTTGTGCTTATACTACATTCAACAAGGAAGATGAAGTCGTCAAGAGAGTACGTAAAAGTACAAGTCTTTTGAGAGCATCCTCACACAGCAGGTCTGGCGAAGTCCAGGCAGACTTACCAAAACAGAGGTGATTCACAAGGCCGCTAAGCTCCAAACCTTAAAGGGGTAAAGCGGATGACACAGAACAAACTGGGAGCTTTCGGTATCGAAGCATATGGGTTTAGAACTATACATGTTGGTGCATATGGCGTTTTAGCGCTACGTTCGGGGGTGTATGCTGCTGCTATTTTCAGTGGAAGAGACGCTCGCGGCTCGTGTTTTACGGTGCAGTATAGCAAGTCTCAGCACTGATCATCCTCAATCCATGTCCCAATTCTTTCCTGCTTGGCAGAAATGCCACTAAATCCTCAAGCACGAAACAACACTGATGAATCATCGACCCTTGAAGCTCTTAGCCACAAGGACCTAACACGGGGGCCAAATTTCCAAGCGGATGCTGCAGAGAAGGAAATTTGCTTACCCAAAAGGCGCACCGGAAAGCCCTTCTTGTTGGTCAGGAACACGTCAGCGGGGACGATGACCGATCGAACTGCGAGCAGAAGCAGGGTTACATGCCCGAATGTAAGGCCGGAGGCCTCAATCAATAGTTTCAGTGCGGGACGGATATTTTCGTACAGAAACCAAGTCGCACCTCGAAAAAAACCAAGTCGCACCTCAAGTCGCACCCCTCAAGTTGCACCCCCAGTCGTGCGTACAGAAACCAAGTCGCACCTCGAAAAAAACCAAGTCGCACCTCAAGTCGCACCCCTCAAGTTGCACCCCCAGTCGTGCCTCAAGTGTTGCTCCAAGTCACCCCTGAAGTGTATAATATTGTATAATAATGTTTCGCGAGAGCAGGGCATGTGGCCGCCGGACCCTCTGGAGGGCAGCGTGTCCATTTACCCCAGTGTTTTCGTACAGAAACCAAGTCGCACCTCGAAAAAACCCAAGTCGCACCTCAGGTTGCACCCACCAGATCCTCTTAATTAAAGACCAGCGTGTCCATTCCTCCCAATGTTTTCGTACAGAAACCAAGTCGCACCTCGAAAAAAACCAAGTCGCACCTCAAGTCGCACCCTCAAGTTGCACCCCCAGTCGTGCGTACAGAAACCAAGTCGCACCTCGAAAAAAACCAAGTCGCACCTCAAGTCGCACCCCTCAAGTTGCACCCAGTCGTGCCTCAAGTGTTGCTCCAAGTCACCCCTGAAGTGTATAATACTGTATAATAATGTTTCGCGAGAGCAGGGCATGTGGCCGCCGGACCCTCTGGAGGGCAGCGTGTCCATTTACCCCAGTGTTTTCGTACAGAAACCAAGTCGCACCTCGAAAAAACCCAAGTCGCACCTCAGGTTGCACCCACCAGATCCTCTTAATTAAAGACCAGCGTGTCCATTCCTCCCAATGTTTTCGTACAGAAACCAAGTCGCACCTCGAAAAAACCCAAGTCGCACCTCAAGTCGCACCCTCAAGTTACCTCAAGTCGCACCTCAGGGTAGACCATAAGCCTTCAGTGGTAGAAATGGACGCGCTGCCTCCAGAGGTCCACTGCAGATGGATAACATTGGCCCGACCTCCACACGAGCTCGAGTCGAATCACGGCCCCGGCGGTGGCCACACACTTGGCCTCCTTCGCTGTGCTGGGCGCAGAAGCCACTGGCCCGACCTAATAACTAGGGCTCGTGCTTTTGACATTGACATGAAGAAGTGAAGCTCGTAAGAACATTGCATGAGAGTCGACCTGGCTCGTTCCACTCCGTTTTCTCTCTCACAGCCGTGTGCTGCAGCAGAAACTGCAGGTGCAATCGTCCCGCAAGCAATGGCTGCCTTGCCAAATCGATCGACCAGCCAGCAAGCAGGAGCTTAAATCAAAGTTAAAATCCTCAAGCGCACAGCGGATGTGCACACAAGGGCTTCGCGCAGCTCTCTGAGAATCTCACTCCGCCGAGCTATGGAAAATAGTGGTGAGTCCGGAGCTGTGCTGCAGGGCAGTCCCGTTTTTTTGCATTTCTGAGAGCATACCCTACGACGAGCTGCTGGAGGAGGACGAGCTCTTCTCACAAACAATCTTGGCCTTCTTCGGTGATGGCGAAGGAGCTGTAGGTGAGTGCACGGACAACGAAGGACCAGGTGAGCGCGTGGACGACGTACCCGTCAGGGACTCTTCCCTGCTCAAGACTCTTTTGCGGGACCAGCTGGCATCGCCGAGGATGGTTTCCCCCACGATCTTGGCCAGGACTGTGGAGCGAATGAACCTTGCGTGCACTTCGTTTGCTGCGAATGCCACGTATGTCATTTTTTTTTTGCACGCCACTACGGCTGCGATGCCGGATCCGGGGGTAATATCGACGAGGATGGCATCGGTTGGGGCACCCAGAACGAAAGCGTCAGTCATCGCATTGTAAAACTCCGCTGGTCCCTCCCAGGCCCACAGGAGGTGATGGGACGGCGACATGGTCCCTGGCCCTGAACTCGGGGCCTGCTCGGCTTCCTCCTCATCCTCGTAGTCGTCATTGACAGCCGTTGAGTCTCCAGACTGACCTTGCTCAGGCTTGCCCTGCTCCTGCTGGCCTTGCACAGCAGCAGCTTTAACCTCGTCTTTCAACCCTCCATGGATGAGATTCGCATCGACCTCAGGCAAGGTCGTCAAATCAAAACCACTCTTGTCCTTCATCCCCAAACCAAACCAACCGCGGCTGTAGGAGTCGCAGTTGTAGGCATGGATGGCTCGACAGTCGGGCTTGTATTTCTTCGGCAAGACGACAAGCATGTTTTCCAGAGGGTCGGGAGCCGTACTTGAAAGACCACGTCGTGTCATACACAGGGCGCCACCTGCGTCAAATTCCCGGCAGTGGTACATGCAGCGGATGGAGACCCAAGCGCTGGCCTTCGGATAGAGGCCCGGGCATTTTTTGACATACTTGGCCAAATCTGAGGTGATGCACTGTGTGTTGGCTTGCCGCCTGCCATCGAGAACGATGACAGCTGAAGTCTCCTTCAGCAGGGGCTTCTGCTGATCCTTGGCCGGATCACCAAACCTGCAGTCACTTTGAATCTCAAGCAGTCGCGAAGCAAGCAAGGCCGACGCACAGCACCAGACCGCGGCCAAGGGACAGGGCTGCGAGGACATGCTTGAACGTGCTGCCCTCCAGGGTCGGCATTCGCCTGAAGGGTGTCTGGATGGCATCCTTTGTCACCGGCTTGGTCTCCCGTTTCACATCATACACGAACATTTGATTCATGTTGTCATGCTCCTGAACGACCTTTTCCAAAGCGATGCGCCAGTTCGGTGCTGTTGTCGGAGCCACCAATATCTCCATGAAAGTATTCATTCCTTATTCCATGAATGCAGTTGCCAGGGATGCGCTTCGGGCGGAGCGAGCAAGAGCAAGTACATGTTGCTAGGATTTTCCTGAGGCTGCAGCGAACTCGGGCAGCGTCACAGATGCTTTCGAACTTGGCATCGTCCTCAATTCTGGCAAAGACATCCTTCAAGAACTGGGGAATCACGGCACCGTCGAACAAGCCACATCGATCCATCTTAGCTGGCTCCTGCCGGGTGGGCTTAACAGTAGGAAGATGTTCGAAGGCAGTTTCCTATCATGGCAGGCCTCAGGGGCCTCGTGGTCGTCGTGAGTGTCCAGCATCGCAACCTCGGGCTCCTCAACCGGCTTTGTATCCGGCTCCTTGGGCTGTTCAGGCACCGGTTCTGCGGGCTCCGGCTCTGAGACGGCTGGCCTCTCCAGTTCATCTTTCAAGCGCAAGGTTGCCTCCACATCCCACACTCCAGTCTTCACGAAAGGTGGGGACCGCAGGAACACCTCCGCAGAGACCATGGGCCCTTGTTCGACAAGGACCGTGTTGATGGCCTTGTCACAGGCCCCTCTGATGAGCGAGACGTTGAAATCCACCACATCCGACAAGTAATCCCTTAAGTTGCGAGACATACAACATCAGACGCTGCGCAGGAAAGACAGACTGACACTGGAAGCACCCTCAATACTGCAGGGAGGGCTCGGCATGCGAGCCCGCCAGCTCATCTTTGTCGTGGACCCAATCTCCAGCCCAGAGGCCTTGAACTTCTTCATGGAACCGAAAAGGTCGGAAAGACTTGGCCACGTCTCTTTCGAAGCGCTCCCTTCTGCATGACCCTCAACCTGAACAGGCTTGGCCTGAGGACGAAACTTGTTGCAGCAGTAAGTCAAGACACGGCGCTTCAGAAGCGCTCGATTGACGAAGCAAGTCATGGTGTCCTTGGTTGGCTCCGACTCCAAGCGGTCTTCGCGGACCTCCAGCCAAAACTGTTCGAGACACCATAGCAAGAGCTGGGAGGAGACTGACGGATTGTTTTGAATATTCGTTTTGCTGCACAGAATGTCGAGGCCCTGCGTTGTAGCAAGGGCATGGCGACCTTTGCAGAAGTCGTCGAGCTCCCTGATGATCTCGGAAGCTCCGTTGCAGGCGGTGACCCGTTTGTGGATGCGGAGATTCTTCGCTATCGTTTTGGCGGTCATGCCCTTGACTTTGTTCCCGAACCTTGCTTGTGGACTGCTGGACAAGACTCTCAGACAACATCAGTTAATACAAACCGCTCACAGGAACGATCGCAACTGGGTGAAGGTGCCACTTCTCCAAAGCCGTTGCATCGCAAGGACGGTTCATAGTCCTCAACAGGTTCTCCACCAAAGCCAAACCACAAATCTTCCGCCACCCTTGCAGCGTCAACGACTCAGCCGCATCACCTGATGAGGTGAGCACAGGTCCCGCTCAGTGGCCAAAACCCTACGGAGGCCCACGCCTGTGATTTCGGCGCAGATCCACTTGTGCCGCTCGAATTGTTCCACCTCCGGCAAGTAAACAAACTTCACCTCGGCACTCATACTTTGGCCAGCAAAGATGTCAGTCTTAATCAGGCCATGAATGGAATCAAGCAGGGCACTCTCACGGCTCGCGCCAAATGGGCAAAGTCTTTGTGCGCCGCCGACTTTTCCGTCACGGCTTTTGCCCAGGACAGGATGAACGCGACACCTTAGGTTTAGTGCTGATAGGCTTGACGGTTTTCAGAGAGAGAGAGAGCTAGAGAGAGAGAGAGAGAGAGAGAGAGAGAGAGAGAGAGAGGGAGGGAGAGGAGAGAGAGAGAGAGAGCTGAGAGAGAGAGAGAGAGAGAGAGAGAGAGAGGGAGGGAGGGAGCGAGAGAGAGAGAGAGAGAGGAGAGGGGGACAGAGCGCGCGAGCACACACAATTCGCGTTGACTACTTTCTCCAAAGAAAAAAAGAGCGTTAGAGAAGAGAGAGAGCGAGAGAGCGAGAGAGAGAGAGAGAGAGAGGGGAGAGAGAGATCTAGAGAGAAATAGAGAGACCGCGTACCTTGCTGGAGAGAGGCGTCCGGCACGCGCGGTCCCTGCCTCCCCCTCCGCCCTCCCTATCTACACGCATGCTTTTCATTTCATACCCTAAATTCAGGTTTTATGATCTTGTGCAAGTCTGGACAAATTTCAGGTCTACTCTTCACGCGACTATAATGCTGGGCCGGCTGGGCTTCTGGCGGTAAGCATCACCATTGCAAACCTCGTACTCACCGGGCGGATCGTTGAAAGAGGCGGCCCTCACCTCGATGACATCAGCCCATCCCCTGATGCAGCTCACCTCGCCGCCCTCAGACCTGAAGTGTCGATCCTCAGCGATCTTGACGGATCCTGTCACAGTGTCACACTGGCACATCACGGTGCCCATGACCGAGCAACATCGTGCAAACGGTTTCAGTTCAGACCTGCCTCGATTCGGGGCGATGGTTTTGTGAGCGAATCCCAGGAGCGGGAAGCGATTGATGCACGTGGTGCAGGTGTACTCGCCATCTCTCTTCATCGTGGCCCGGTACTCCGTCAGGTCGAAGGCCCTAATGCCGCCCTGGTCCACGGCATCACTTGCAAACTCCTCGACAGAACAGGCGAGAAGACCCGAACGCATCCAAAACGCAGCAGCACACTGCTTAGGACGATGGTTGAGGCTGCTGGGCCTCAAGCTTGATGACGGACGCAGCTTCAAGCAATGCTTCGCAAGTCGGGTGGCCAGCAAGAGCAGTGCCCACATCCACCGATGCGGAAGGCACCGCGGCGGTCGGCTTCCCCTTTTTGGTTTGCCTCGTCTTCGACGCCATGGCGGCAGAGCAAGCCCTGCAAAGAAAAATCTTGTGCCCCAGTGCGGCGCGAGTCTGGCAATGACACTCCAACACTTGGAAGCCTGCCAGACTGGACCTTTGAAGGGCCAGTCTGGCACACATCGCAAACGTCTGGCGCCACAAAGCTCGACCCATGACAACACAATCAGTCTGGGAAGTTGCTCTCTCAGCGCCTGGCCAATGGGACAGCTGACAGACTGGGCCGTCGACGGTCCAGTCTGGACGACGCCCAAGCGGAAAGCATCGATTGCCAGACTGCTGCCTGGCGTCCTGGCGCCCGAAGAACGAGATGAAGAGAACTTCACACGTGGTTACAACGCCCCCAACCCCAAATCAACTCACGCTCCTTCAGCCAGGCGTCCACCATCAACAGTGGCCAGGCCTCAAGAGCTTATGTTATGATAATTTACGGATGCATTCTACCTTCTACGACTACGGTTCTACACGAGCTCTGACCAGAATGATCCGCGACACAGCACCGGTCATGTCAGGCTCGTGGAAACATCTGAGGAAGGAGCTTGCAGAAGCGCAGTCCAAAGCACCTGCATGGCACGAGAAGTGATGGGGCAGCTGTGGTTCGAGATTATGAGGCCTCAGAAGACTGTTTTTTATGCCCGTCGAATGCCTGTGTCACGCGCCTGATGATTCCGTTAGAGGCTCAGTCAAAGCCCTAGGCGGGAACACATACGATGGCTTGAGCTTCATATGTCTGCTAAGGCTAACAACGTTCAACAGCTCACAACACTTCTCCCGCAGGCTTTTCAATGAGGCTTCTTCGAAGCCAGCAAAACTTCTCCTCAACACTTCTCAACATACTTCAAGGCCATGAGGATGGGCAGCAAAGCCCGAACTAGACTCGTCGTGGCCATACCATTGCCGGCCAAAGTTCTGATGTCAGAGTCCGACAAGGCCGTTAGATCACATTGACGAAAGCCGTGCATGCGCATGTGAACAGCAGGGTTAACAAACTTCTCCTGCCGGAAGTCGAACAACGTCGTTCCTGTGCACAACGTCGGTGCTCGTCCGTCCATCCACAGGTGCATGCGAGACGCCGACTGGCTGACATCGGCGACGACGGACAAAGGTGGCTCGGGGCACTCCCGCTCCAAATGGCGAGCATACTCTGCAAAAATGTCGAGCTGAGCAGCCTGCCACGGAGTCCTCCGGCTTGCCGAAAGACGGCTCGAGACACGATCCTGCCTCTTCAGCGGCACAAAACTCTGTGGCAACTTTCCAGCGGCCACTGCTGCATCATAGGCCTTGGAGAAGGCTTGGTGGTAGTCACCTTCGAACTTGGCAACACTTGAGCTCGTCTCCTCGAGGGCCGGAGGGAGCTCCGTGTACGTGTTGTCATCCTGGAGAAAGGAGCCTATTGGGTAGATGGCATCCGGCACTGAGGTCTCAATCATCTCGTACTGTGCGAGCAGTTGGGTGGCATGGCTGTGCCCTGTGTCTGATGAAGCGCCCCAAAAGAAGACACGGTTCCTTGCGCCAGGCAAGGGCCTGGCAGAACCTTCCGCCCATTTCACGCTGAAGCCGGGCACACTCTCCAGCTTGTTGAGAACGAACTGCAAAGCTTTGTCAGTGCGGTCCCCTCCGCGTTTGCACCTGGGATGGACAGTGCGGCTTACCAATATGAGCCCTAGAAGTCGACGACCTTACGCAGCTTCAGCACTTCAGGATCTGCTTGCAATCCGGGGGCTTGATTCCTGATGAGTTCTCCAATAAGACATATTTCGGGCGCCGTGTCTTCATGTGTTCTATTGCCGACTCCAGCGTAGGATGTGGCTGTGAGCAGCAATCCGCACGGAAGCGGGATGCGTTCTGCTGGCTGTACACCTTGCACTCAAAGCCTGCGACGAAAAGGTCTTCTCGGTCTTCTCGGTCTCGGGAGCACGATGGCGAAGGCGGCGAAGGTACACGGCAGTTCATGCCATGTTTCCTCAGAGTCTCATGTTTGAAGCAGCACTTTTCGATCAGCTCAACACTCATGTAACTCAAGCAAGGTTCTGGCAGAAGGCATGGGATTTGCTGACATACTCAGTGGCATCCTCTCAGGCACAATATGCCCACCAAACCAAGCGACAGGATGCACAGGGATTTGATTTAAGCAGCTAATTATCAGTCCTCGAAAATGCAACCTGGGGAAGAGTTCTTCAGGAGGAACACACACGCACTCTTGGCTTTCTCGCAGGCAAACGCTTCATTCACGTAGCGCCGGCCGAGCATAGTTTCCAAGACATGACTGACAGTCCCGGCCCCGCTGCAAGAGGTCGTGAGATGCAGGGGGCGCCACCCCTCTTTGCTTGTGAATCGAACGCAACTCTCACTCATCACTGCTTTAATGTATTTTTTTAATTTGAAGCTTCCCTCGAGAGCCTGAGGGGGGGGGCGTGCAGCCGCTGCACGTGCAGCTGGACGTTTCAGACATGTCGTTCGTTTCTTGGCCATTGCAAAATCCAGCACTGCTCTTAGTCTTGAGTCAAAACTTTCGAATTCGTTCAAGCTGGCACACAGACAGCTAACATTAAGCTTCAGCCGCACAGCGTCGATCCCATTGGCAATAGGCTTGGCAAGAGCCTTTTTATGCCCCTGCGCTACGAACCCCCCGGCGCTGTGAACCCCTCTGCGCTGCATCAGGACGTGGTCCAGTAAGTACCTCGGCTGTTCAAGGCAAGTTCAACAGCAGACCACGACTTGACCGTGTCAGTGTTTAGCAAAGGAACACATTGCCATCAGCTTCTCTCCACACATGGGGATGCCCTTGTAGCCTTTTTTCTTCTGCTTAGCAGCTCCTTTCTTGACCTGCTCCGGCGACATCAGGATCACGGCTGTGCTGTTCCTGACTTTTTTCCAGTCGGATTGGAAAGTCCAAGTTGTGGGCACTTCCGCCTTGTTGCAAGCAGCCAAGCAGGCACCGACCAAATCTGGGTGATTGGCGTCGTTCAAAGACTTGTGGCAACACAGCGTCAGGGTCCTGTGTGTAAGCGCCGGCTCCATCCTGGCAAGAGGCTGAAGAAGCCGCTGCTCCCTCACACAAGACTGGAGCCACATGGGCCCGGCCAGGCCGCCACCCAGCAGGCGGAAGCACACGCTGAACGAGTCGAGGTTTTGCATCTGTGCAATCTCGGTTTCCTGCTGTGATGTCGAAGCAAGCCAGATTGTCGATCGGGCATGAAGGTCCTGGATGATGGGGATCATCTCGCGTCCAGTCCTTTTCGGCCACAGACGCCCGCGCGCCCCTAGAGCTCTCAGCTCCTCGAAGTGATCCTCTGTCTGGCAGATGATAACCGTCTGCGCAGGCAAGCTCTCCATCTGCAGCACCAGCGGCATCTTCTTAGCAGAACGGTCCTGCAATCTCGACTCCTTCTCGGCCTCTGCCGCCCTTAGCTTTTTCGCAACAGTGGGCTGCGAACCTTCCTTTGCATCCATTTCCAGGTTTCGCCGCTTGCCCTTGGCATAAGTCTGCAGACTTTGGGACAAGTTCACTTGGTTTTGGCTTAGCTTCGAGGAAGCAGCCTCGTCGGCGATGCACTCCAAAGTTTGCAAAACATCGTCATCTCCATCCACCTGGGCACCCTCTGGAATGGCAGCTGCTTGCTGCGCCCGCTGGCGCCTGGAGGCCATGACGCCGCTGACCGCCTTGTCACCACGGGGGCGGGCACGCCGGGGCAACTCGGGATCCTTCTTGGCAGCATTGCCATTCGACCCAAACATGGACCTATACTTCTTCTGGAACTGGAACGCAGCATCTGAAGGACACATTGTGTACGCCGCACCCACGCCGGCACGATGTTGCTGGACAAGAAGATCCGGGGTCAAGCCGTCGAGCCTGGTCTTCATCAGCGCCCTGCAGGCAGGAAGCCCCCCTACCGTTCGGACAAGGTTAAAAGGCATGGCCTGAGGTGGTCCTGTCGAGTTCGTCCCTTTCTTGAACTGGAATAAAGTTCCAGGAAAGTGAACTGTTGTTCCAGCTCGCCGGTTCCAGGGAATGTGGATTGGAAGAAAGCCACCTCGGTTAGCACTGCAGGAACAAACGACATACGGGCACAACAGCACAGCCGGTCGTATTCGAGGAATCAGGAATCGCTAAGCACGGAGCTGCCTGACTCAACACCGGAAGCTTCCAGTGCCGAAGCGTCTGACCCCAAGAGCGGTCGATGTCTCGTACACCCGACCTGTCGAGCAGAACACGGCAATGCTATGGTCCTATGGTCCTGGCAAAAACTTGACAAAGGCACCTCTGCAGGTTCTCACATGTGGGACGGGCAAGCAGGTACTCGGAAGAAAGGTCCGCGACCTGGGGGACTGAAGAGGCACGCGTCAAAAGAGAAATATTCAAGCCAAGCTGCATTCAGACTCAAGGCAGTGCAGAGGGGCTCGAAGACCTGCTGCCTGCGAAGTACATGAGTAGGTCGTGAACGGACAACAGCGAACATGTACCATTGCAGGACCCAGTCCCAGCAACTAGGTCCCGGACAGGCTGTCATCCGACCTAGTTTGCCACCACTCCAAGTCGAATGGTTGAAGGCTCATCGCTATCAAGTTGTCGAACTCCGCACGGATACCTTGCAAGAAGTTGCGGGCAATGTTTCGGACGACACCTAGTTGAGTGGAGACCCAACGCGTAATTTGCTCTTCACCGCCCGCACCGGCAGCATAAAAGACCATCTCACCCGACACTGCCTTGACCTGTCCGGACAGGAAATTCCAGCTGGTCCTCAAAGTCTGGACATAACCACTGGTGTAAGACTCATGCAATACCAGTGGTCGGCGAAGTTCATTGTCGGCGGATCGAAAGCCGAAAAGGCGCTCGATCTTCTGCTCCAACTGGTTGATGAAATACGCCGTGCGCGCAGAGTGGGACAAAGACGAACCTTGCTTGTCTTTCAGATTGTCGAACCGGTGCGAAAACTCTATCGCAGCTGAAGAAAGCTCTCCAAGCAAAGCCAGCAATAAAAGCCGTTCAGGCTTGAACACTGACTTCAAAAGGCGACAGGCCCATTTGGCATTCCGTCTGTCTGTTGACTCAGCCTCACCACACAGAAAGCGAAAAATTGGAGTGATATTCAACACCACCAGCTCGCAGACAGATGCGATGCTCCCAAATCTCTGAGGAGCGAAGTGGAAATTCGCTACAACTCCTTCAAGCTTCTGAAATGTTTCTTTCATCTTGTGGGAATTGTTGATGCCGCGTGCAAAACTCCCGGTCTCTTCCTGCGTGGAAAATCTCAGGGCCCATTCATTGATAAGTTCGCTTGCAGCATCATCTGCTTGTAGTGCTTTTTCTAGAGCTTTCGTCGAGGCGTGAACATTGCACCTGATGACTGCCCGAAGCCCAGCAAGGGTGTCTTGTTCCTGTCAAGCTGGAATCAGCGGCACAGGAAGACAGACATGCTATGGCTTTCCCACGTGTTACTTGTCCTTCGCATACCTCGCCCCAAGTGGCTCAGCTGCCTCGCCGTCAGAGACGAAAACCTGCAACCAGGACTGCCGCAGATGAAGACAAGTTAGGTCAATCTGCTTCAGAACATGAATGTCAGAGCACCTGGACATGTTTCCGAAAGATCTCTTGTAGCTCCACATCGTGCTTCGAGAAGCGGCCGATCGCCTCTTGGATTTGTCTGGCTTTGTCAATGGAAGCCTGCACCGGGCCAGTCAAACGCGAATCCCTCACTGAAGTCAAGGGCGCGGCCTTCTGGCCCTCATTGGGAATCAAGTCCAGGACGAACTGACGGACGCTGTAGTCGTGCAAGACCGCACGGCAGCGTATGAACTGGAATGGCCCTCGGCCGTCCTCAGGACAGGACTGCGCACGAATCCACCTGACAACGGTGAATATTAGCCCGGAAGCTATGGAAAGTGGAGCCAGTCCTCCGCTAACCCCATGCAGCGAACACCAGCCTTCAGCGCCTTTCTATCCAGATCGAAGTAAACCTCTGCTAGAGCAGCCTGAATTTTGAAGTGGATAAAGGAACTGGATCTGGCCATCGGGCATAATGACGGACACATCTTGAAAGCATCCTGGCATCTCCTTTCGTAATCTTGGCCTTGTGCAGTGGCCGGTGTGAACGCTACCTGCGCCGAGATGTGGAGTTGTTTCCAGCTCACGATCTCCAGCACAGCTGCCGGATCCCTGTCTGTAGCCACAGCACTGTTGCCCTCAACACCACCCAAATGAAACTGGAGTGCTCTCTCATGAAATCTCGACGATGCCGTTGATTTCCGAGCACTGCCCGAGTGTCTGAGCAGGTCCTCTATCTGAAGAGCGGTGACACGTTTGCCAGGCCTTGAAGGGCACTACAAGGGGGTTCGCACGATGTCAAGGTTTAAATATCTATTATATTTGGTTCCACCACCCAGCCTATGCATGCCTTTTTGGCAAAGTATGTAAGGGGTTTCACACCGCACTTCTTGGGGACAATGAGCTGCGAAGGATTTGCAAAGCTGACATCCCAATCCCCAAGGCTGCGTAGGCGCAGCTTCCATCAGCCATGTGCGCTGCACACCTCAGGCCACTGCACTAGATGATCTGCTGTTGCGCGCAAAGTTTCAGGCCAGCAACGAAAACCCCAAGCTGCAACCTTCAAAGGCGAGATGCCATCCTTGTCAGTGTACACACATCTACTAGTCCACGCTTCAGCGTGTTTGTAAAATCGGCAGCGGTTGCAGGATTTGCCGTCAACGCAACTCGCCATATGCCTCTCCGCAATGGAGCTGTCCATGGCTGTGACACCATATAAATGCGGTCACAGCTTGTCCGTCGTTTGTCTTGATATGATATGCCAATTGCCAGTGCTAGGCACGTCTGGCCACTTATTCTAGGTTGACTGGCCGTCCATGTTCTCTTCATGCGTCTGAACAAAACTTAGCAGGATGTACATGACATGGACGTCTGCCAACATTCACCTCACGGCTTCTGTGTCACGGCTCCACGACCAGCCTCGTCTGTTCGAGGTTGCATCACCCAGTCGACCATGAGCACCTTTGCAGCATCCAGTCTAGATGGGGGTTGGACTTGGACAGGCGCCGGGTTCGATTGCAGAGCAGGCAGTTCTAGTGTGAGAGAGCCAAGCAAACAGGTCTGACAGGGACTTGCCCAGCCAGCGGTTCCAGGGGCATCATCAACATCGCCCGGTGACAACATGACTTTAATTATGTCATGATGATTGAGCATCAGTCACAAGTATTTCAGGCCGAATCTTTATGTTCACCTTGGCGTCCTGATTGGATTTGAAAAGACTGAGCGTTTTTATAAACCCTACTTGAGGCTAGACCTCTGCGACTGGTTGGGTTCACTCATAACACGACATTACCCCCATGCCATGAAACCGTTGATGAGCAGCAAGCACGAAAGCTCATCTGAGCCAGCCCGACCAGCCCCACCAACTGTGGCAGAGCTCACGTTTGCAAAGCAACGCAACAGAACCAATGGCCTAAAGTTCCAAGTCTTGGTCCACTACCATGACAGCAAAGACGGGAGCTTAGGGCAGGAGGGGGTAACATTCATGCCACATGATATTGCGTGTGAGAAGGCCCGACAAAGACCCACCAAGGAAATCCACGTCATGGCCTAGTAGTACCCCTCGACCGCCAAACCGCAACAGCAATTACTTCGGGAGATGACATAAGCCCGGCATCCTAGACACTCGACGCGGAAGTGGCGTTGACCCCACGTCTCTCGGTTCCACAAACCTAATCCCGGCGCAGCAGTGGCACAGCTCTTCATACAAACAGGGACCCAAACTTTGAAAAGAGATCACGAAAAGGAAGACAGGCATAATTGAGAAGAGAAACTTGACAAAGTGCAAGATGGGAGCCAGGGGGGCTCACCAAAGGGCCAATCAGCCCCGTTGTGAAAACGCACGAGCCCAAGCCCCTGGCGGATGAGAGGCAGAGCCAGAAAGCCAGACCTGGAGCGACACGGGTTAGAGATGGGCCCATGGGTTGGTCAGGTAGGCCGGGTCTTAATTTGGTTTTGATAGGATTCGACTCGCACACTCGCTCTCACTGTCACAGGCACGGCTTCAGAACTTCGCACAACAGCACCAAGGACCCGGCTTGCGGCTCCGAATGGCGTGCAGCTCCGAACGTGCAGAGGCGAGGTTCGGATTGGGTTTTGGGTTTGGTGTGGTTTCAGCAGAAGCGCCTCTCCCCGATAGGTTCTGGACTACCTTTTCGGTCACCTAAATTTTAGGTGGCCCAAGATGCAAAGTTAGGCGACCCAAAACGGAAGCAAAATCACCAAGCCAATCCCATTCTACAATAAGCTTCGATCGATCACCTAAAATTTAGGTGACCCAACTGGACACCCAGTGCCAATGGACTGTAACGGTGACCTCATTCTCAGATCTATTGAATAGTTCTTTAGCCTAGAGGAGGCGGGACAGCAAGGGCTAAGGCAGAGTGTATGGAGTGGCGGTGGGTACAGAATGGGGGGTGCCCCGATCAACATTACATTTGGGCTCTGTATTATTGAAGTAGGTTAACCTTTTACTTTAGGGGACTAACGGGGGCCCAGAATTATAATCAATCCTCATTTGGGAGTATGGTGAAGGGCAGAACCTTAAAGCCTCGACCTTCAATGCAATGGGACAACCATGAACAGCTTTAGGGTTTCTAGGGTTTAGGGCTTAGGGTATCTCAAAGACAGCATGCACCGTCACTCAGGTTCAGGCTCTGCCGATGATGTAATCGTCGAGCTCATTCATACCTTGGAGCGGCAGCGGGCAAACCAGCAATGCTTCAAAGGACTTCTGTTTAATCCAGACCCGAATCCCGGAACACTCGACCCGCTTTTTTGCTGTACCGCTCGGCGCCAGCTTTGCTGCTGGAAAATGAGCGACTGCCAGCGGTAGCTCCAATGCCCCAGTCGGAGCTATGACTTTGAAGGAGTATAGCACCCCTTTTTATGTATCTATTTAAATTCAGATAGCCCTGCACCGGAGCCACACGCCAGCCGCAGCTATTGCCTGCTGCGCTTCTTAGGCGGCTCAGCACTCGACGAAGCCCCCGCCGCCGCCGCCCTCTCTTCGGCCGCCCGGAGCTTCTCTCGCAAGGACGTGTTCTCATCCTTCAGCAAGCGAATCTCCTCGGCCTGGTTGCAGATCTGGTCCCGGTACTGGTTCCTGAGGTTATAATGGGCAGCGGCGGTATCCTTCTGAGCCTCAGGGAGGAGTGTTTCACGTAAAATGGTGCCTAAGGGATTTAATTGTGGCCCGATTGATTTTAGTGAACTCCCATCCTGGAGCAACTCTGCAGTCTGCTGCTCCTTCTCCGTGATGCTCAATATCTCACGGTCCTTGCCAGCCAGCCGCGCCTTGTATCCCTGCTCTGCTAGCCGCCATGCCTTCCGACTGTTCTCAAAGGAGTCGGATGCAGCAGGAGCAGCAGCCTTTCAGGGTAGTGCATCAAGTCTCCTATCCTATAGGAGAGCAGCAGCCTTAGTGAATATTATACACATGGTTATCTCAAGTCTGCTGTCCTACAGGACCCGGCCTGGCTCAACTCCAGAGCTCGATGATGCTCCGCCAGCATCTCGGCCTTCTCTTTCGAGAAGGCCACCCTCTCCTCCTCCCGTGCCTTCTCCACCGCCTCCAAAAGCGCTTGCTCGGCAATCTCCTGGGCTTGCTGCAGCTGGTTCTTGTGCTTGCTGACGAGTTCGGCCTGCATGTTGAGGAGCGCCTCATTGGACAACAGCGCTGTAGCAGTCTGGCTGACCAGATCCTGCAGGGAAAACTAGGAACTAGGCAGGAGAAGTCATAAACTTAATTTGAAGCTGGCTTACTTATTTAATTTGCGCCCGCAGCACACTCCGCTCGGCTATCATCGAGGTGGTCATGCCGATCAGCGACTGCATCAGACCCGCACGCCCATCAACACGACGGGCGCGAGAATCGCCGAACCGGGACGCATTGCTCCTGTCGCAGGGACAACTTTACATTTTTTGTGGAATTTAAGACTATTTCCAATGGTGGTTTAAGCTCTACTCTTCCCGCCTCTGACTCTTCGGCTGCGCGGCCGGCGCAGCCCCAGCAGCCTTTGCCTTTGCTGGTTTCCCTCTCGGGAAACTGCCATCCAAAAAGTTGATGCTCTTCTTGGATCCGCTCGCCATCAGCAGGCACGCCGAGTGAAACCCTAAGGCCCAATGGCTCTCAATGCCTAAGTTCTGATGGCTCTCATGCCTGGAAGGTTTGATGGCTCTCATGCCTGGAAGGTTTGATGGCTCGCATGCCTGGAAGATTTGATGGCTCGCATGCCTGGATGACTTATATGGCTCTCATGCCTGGATGACTTACGATGGCACTCATGCCTGAATGATGGCTCGCATGCCTGGATGATTGGATGGCTCCCTCAACCGTCCTGTAATAAAATACTCTGACCTGTACTTAGCCCCGATCTATGCAGTCATTGCTGCCGCTGGAGCCCTCCTGAGAGACGTGAATCATGGTTTTCCGTGCGGCTACCCGAAGTCCCGAAGCCCGAATACCCCGGCTCGAAGTCTTGAAGATCAGGAATCGAACCGCAAGTCAAGACCAGGACAAAAGCCAAATCAACAAACCATACTACCCAATCAGAAGCCAAAGGAAACCGCGGCAAATTGGTCTAGCTACCTCAACGAAACCTTGGGAGGAAGCCCTCTGCCAAAACCAGATTTCCGAAGTTAAAGTATGCAGAACCCCGGCAAGCAGTTCTTACGGGAGTGGGTGTCCAGGTTGGATTTGGAGTGGCGGTTCTTTGAACCCAAAATTAAAACCCGATCTTATGTTTGGAATCGAAACCCTGGTACTTTCAAATTTATGCCGCCTGATGTCTTAAGTTGTTGTCGTGGGGAGAGACTCGGATAGAGAGGGGTGGCTTTCTTCGGAGGCAGGTTCAGAGTAAAGCTGTGATGGAACGGGGCCCCTTGAGAAGTGACTGAACGCCAGAATTAAATCTATTGTGATTGTGTGCTGTCGAGCTACGAGTATGAGCGTCACCAGCTCGTCATG